ACCTGCCCTGTTATAGTGAGCAGAATTGAACCCTCCCTCTCCAGCTAGTGAATGGAGGATTCAGGCCTCTGGCCGCAGGGCTCTGCTTCCCACATCCTTCCCCAGTGAACCCAACAGGATTGCGCTCTCCACTTACCAGCTGTTCTGGACTCTTCCCAAAATACTAATTTTATCATTGATAATAACTGAGTGCTGGAGAATGGAAATGACATACTTTGGTCAATTCAAAATGGGCCATTCCACCTGCTCTCTTATGGTCATAGTTATGGCAAGTTCTCCAGTGGAACTAGAAAACTAGCCCTAAAGGCTGGGACTGAGGTGTAGGGAAGATGCCTGCTTTTAGGCAAATTGGTATCCTTTCTTGGACAACACTGGACTTGGACAGGACTTTAATTTTCTCCAGGTTTCAGTTGGGCCCAAATGCCCAGAAATTCTTTTTAAGAGTTGCATCTCCAGAGTCCCTCCTGTCATATTTTTCTCTTCCCTTCCAGGTTGACTCAGACATAGAGGAATTCTCAAGCTGCTCCATACAACCCAGGAAACCTTTCCTTCTCTCGGTTCTTATGCAGTCTCAGAAACAGAGCCCTCAGAGCCTGATTGAACACTGAATACCACAGACCAATATGGGAGATCAGTAACATCTCCGGGAGCCACTGCCAATGAAATGAATTGAAAGACCCATTGAAGTGGACAAGATATAAGGACTTATTGGAAAATAAAACCCCAAGGTGGCTGTCACCGATGGAAGTGAAAGCCTTGAAAAAGCTCAATATGGAGGTCAAATGGCCGAAATATTGGGAAATTTTAGAACAAGATGGAGATAGATTGAAACTGCAGAGTTTTGAAAAGTTAAAAAATAAAGTGCGAGACTGGCTTCATTATTATCAGATAATGGAGGCATACAATTAGGACAAGAAAATTGGCTTCCAGGTGGAAAAATCAAAATTAGAAACAGAACTGTTAGAACCCAAAACTAAGAATTTGTCAAGAATGTATAACTTGCTGCTGAAATGGAATACTCAAGATGAAACGGTGAAATCTGCTATGATTAAATGGGCACAAGATGTTGGACATAATATTATGTTTGCCGACTGGGAACAGTTATGGACCACAGGTATGAAGTTTACGGCATGTAATGCCCTAAGAGAGAATATTATGAAAATGATATACAGGTGGTACATAACCCCAGTCAAGCTTGCAAAAATTTACCATTTGCCTGATAATAAATGTTGGAAATGTAAGGAAATCGAAGGTACATTTTTTCACCTTTGGTGGACGTGCCCAAAGATTAAGGCTTTCTGGGAAATGATATATAATGAATTAAAAAAGGTATTTAAATATACCTTCTTGAAGAAACCAGAGGCCTTTCTCCTGGGCATAGTCGGCCAATCGGTGTTAAAAAAGGATAGAACTTTTTTTATGTATGCAACAACAGCAGCAAGAATACTTATTGCAAAGTATTGGAAGACACAAGAGCTACCCACACTGGAGGAATGGCAGATGAAATTGATGGACTATATGGAATTGGCGGAAATGACTGGCAGAATCCGTGACCAGGGAGAAGAGTTGGTGGAAGAAGATTGGAAGAAATTTAAAGATTACCTACAGAAATATTGCAAAATTAAAGAATGTTAGACTGATGACGGATTGAAATTAAGTGGTTTCTAGCTGTACAGGTTTTAAAGTTATATATAGATCAAGATTAAGGATTAGGACTAAAAAGGTTAAAAGAATGGAAAATTGGCTATTAATAGGTAAAAATTTAATGTTATATTATATTAAGATCAAGGATTGGGATTAAAAAGGAGGGAAAGGAATTGCTGGACAAACAAACTGAATTTGGAATACAAAAGAGGGAGGTATGAGGAGGTCCAGAAAATAAGTTAATCTAAAAGTAGTGATGAAAGGATGGAAGTGTTTTTAACTGTTTTTTCTTTTTTTTTTCTTTTTGTATTTTGTATACTGTATTTTTCTTTTTAATTTTAAATATTTTTTTTCTTATTGATGTGTTTCTTTTTATGCGAAACTTTAATAGATATCATTTAAAAAAAAAACAAAAGAAGGAGGTATGAGGAGGTCCGGGAAACAAGTAAATGTAAAAGAAGTTATGAAAAGACGGAATTGTTTTTAACTGTTTTTTCTTTTTTTTCTTTTTGTATTTTGTATTGTGTATTTTTCTTTTTATTCTGAAAGTCTTCTTTTTTATTAATGTGATTCTTTTTTTGTGAAACCTTAATAAATATCATTTTTAAAAAAATGAAAGACCCATTGAAGATCTCTCAATACTGCCAGTTGAGCCGGAGCTACAGGCTACCCAGCAGCCTTCAACACTGGCCCCAAAAGTCCTGTGACTGGGACAGAGATCAACATACCCAGACTTACCCAGTGACTATGGATGGGGTCTCCTTGAGTGCAAGAAATTTCAGGAATGGCTTCATCACCAGCAGCAGTATATAAGGCACTCCTCTTGAGCCTCCCTGTTGCTGGAAACAATACAAGCCTGTTATAAGAAAAAGAAAAACTGCTCCTTTTCCCTTATGGGAAACCCAAGAGCCCATATAGAGTCCTTTTGTAGGTTCTCTATCAGTAGGAGAAAATAACAGAGGCCAACCAGAGAATATAGAGAAGCAAAGCAGCTAGTAAGCCTGATCTTTATTCACTGTTGCAACAGGGTTCTCCCCTCACACGCAGGAAGCAGGTGGGACCCCGAACCATGAGCACAAGCCCTTACATAGACATTTTCAAATTGCCCACCCTGGAGCCCAATAAGATCTTGAAGAGCAATAAGATCTGCGCCAGCAGCTTGTGTTTCCAGAGGCTGGGAAGAGACTGACCATTGCTATCCTCCCGACATTTGCCTCTTGCAGCTGCCAGACTCCTCTGGAGAAGGATTTGGGAGCCAGCTGTCTGCCATCTTCCCCTCCCCTCTGAACTGCATTTAAGCCAGGCTGCCTGGAGTGTAGAAAGACCAGGGCCAGAAACTTCATTGTCAGTTAACTCTTGTGTTGCTTTTATCTATGTACATAAGCTTTAAATTTTTTGGAGGGGGGCAATATTGAATTTATTGTGTGTTTGCCAAATTGTTTATTTCTGTCATTTTTTTAATTTACTGTCATATTCCGCTGTGTTACACATTTTGTGAATCTAAGTTTGGCCTCATTGGGGGCCATATTTCAGTATGAGTGGGAAAATGAGAGTACCCCTAAATATTATTTTAAAGAAAAAAAGTCGGTCTCCAAAGCTACTTGCATTTTTCAGTGCTTTGGCTCTGCCCAGATTGGTCAGAAGACTTTTCTTAACAGCCAATCTTTGCAAACAGCAATTCTGCTCCTCCCCCACATTCCACACCCAGAAACACACTTCCGCAGAGAAGCAAACATTACTTCTGCTTGCAGATGTTTCCTCTTCAGAATGTTGCTGTACTTTCCTGTGGGTAAGTCGCGCACTGCTTTGTTCTGAAGAGCAATAAGATCTGCGCCAGCAGCTGGTTTGTTCAGGAGGCTGGGGAAGAGACTGACTAGCGTTGTCCTTCCCGACATTTGCCTCTTGCAGCTGCCAGACTCCTCTGGAGAAGAATTTGGGAGTCAGCTGTATGCCATCTTCCCCTCCCCTCTGAACTGCATTTAAGCCAGGCTGCCTGGAGTGTAGAAAGACCAGGGCCAGAAACTTCATTCTCCGTTAACTTTTGTGTTGCTTTGTATCGATGCACTTAAGTTTCAAATGTTTTTTTTTTGGGGGGGGGGGCAATTTTGAATTTATTCTGTGTTTGCCAAATTGTTTATTTCTGTCATTTTTAAATTTACTGTCATATTCTGTATTTTGTACATTTGTATTTTTGATGCTCTGTATTTTGATGTTTTGAAAGTTTGCTGTGAGCCACTTTGGGCTCAGCTCCTTGCGGAACAGACGCATATCAATCAATCCCAGTCAAGAGAGAAGTAACTGAGAAAGCTGCTTACTGGTTACTAGCACTTTTTTCTGTGGGGACGCAGGGTTACACATACCCCTAAACATGATAGCCATGTTCAAATATATAAAAGGATGTCACATAGAGGAGGGAGAAAGGTTGTTTTCTGCTGCTCCAGAGAAGCGGTCATGGAGCAATGGATCCAAACTACAAGAAAGAAGATTCCACCTAAACATTAGGAAGAACTTCCTGACAGTAAGAGCTGTTCGACAGTGGAATTTGCTGCCAAGGAGTGTGGTGGAGTCTCCTTCTTTGGAGGTCCTTAAGCAGAGGCTTGACAACCATATGTCAGGAGTGCTCTGATGGTGTTTCCTGCTTGGTAGGGGGTTGGACTCGATGGCCCTTGTGGTCTCTTCCAACTCTAGGATTCTATGATTCTATGACTTCATTTCTAAGGCAGAAATGTTTTCCTGCAGGATTTTTTCCTATGATGTGTCAGTCATTAACTAATACAATATAAATGTCAGTAAAGAGGAAACAGTGAATTAGAGGAGCCAACAAATGAGCAGGAAAAGGCAACTGGGGATCCTGGTGGAACAGAGTCAGTTTCTTCTCTGAACTCTGTGTTAACTTATCTCAGTTTCACAAAAAATAGTGCATAATCGTTATTTCCTGAAACACACAAGCAGATTGTTTTTAGATTGCTTCTTAGAAGAATTTTTCACTTGGTAAGATCTTTTTGTGTTGAATTTTCAACTGACATTTTGCAAAGTTCTGATTTTGTAAGCTGCTTTGAGGTTTTAGGACAACCAAGAAGTATTAATCTTGTGAACTGAAATAAATGAACTTTTGTTCCTTGTGAGAGGAAATTCTACTTATTTTTTGGGAGGATTTTTCCTTGGGACAATTACACAAAGCCAGATATTCCAAAATTTCAGCACTGCAAAGCTTTAAAAGATTTAAGTGTTTAATCAATTGCTTTTTCAGACTTCACGAAACAGGATAATGATACTAATTTTGTTTCTATCTCCCCCCCACCACCCTCCCCTCACTAGAAACTTTAAGCCATGCAGTGGGGAATCCAACCCATCAGATGAAGGGAATGCTGGGAGGATCAGTCTTGTTTCCTGCCAATGTATCTCAAGGAATAACAGTGCAGAAAATGGAATGGGACTTTTACCCCCAAAGCGGTGGCCTGGGCTTTTGGCTGGGGGAATTCAGTCATGGGAAACTGGAGCACCAAAGTCCCACTGACCAGTTTCAACAACGGCTAGACATGGTGGATGAGACAACACTGAGGATCAAAGACCTGGAGTTGGATGACAGTGGGATCTACAGTGCTCGCATCTGGCTTACTAAGACACTGTTTAAAGAACAGCGTTTCAGCCTCACCGTTTATGGTAAGTTATTGTTTTCACTCTTTGACTCATGGAATAGGATGAATAGGACCCAAACCTTATGCTGTTTTCATTTGTGTTCCACAGAGCCAGTGCCAACACCACAGATAGACCACCAATTGGAATCCAAGACTCCAGGTGGATGTAATGTGACCTTGCGATGCCTCACACCTAGAAGGGAAGAGCTCAAGGTCTCCTGGGAAACAGGGGGTCCACACAAGGCCTTAGGAAAGAGTGTGAATCAGTACCAGGTTTCTGACATTGGCCAGGAGCTCCGTGTCTCCTTCTGGAACAGTTCTTTCAACTCCAAATTCACCTGCCTGGTCAGCAATCCTGTTGATCGAAAGAGAGCCTCGTTTGACTTGCTCAACATCTGCCAGAGTGATGAAGGTGAGCAATATATCCTTTCCTTCATTATGCAAAGGAGGTCCTTGTGGTTGCGAAAAGGCAGGCTAGCCCTTAACATGAGGGATTAGCAACACTTGCTTATCTATTGTTATTTATTCTACTGCTCTCAGCTGAGTGTGAGCATGAGAATCTGAATCGCGGGGTCATGAGTTTAAGCCCTGCATTGAACAAAAGATTCCTGCAATGCAGGGGGTTGGACTAGATTACTCTACTTGTCCCTTCCAACTCTACAATTCTATGATTCCGTGAGAGTCACTCTGACGATTGTTATTAGAGTATGTTTTGAGAGACTCTTATTGTTCTTTGTGTGGGATATAAAGCTGTCAGTCAAGGCCAATATTCCGAGAGGACCTGCCCTGTTATAGTGAGCAGAATTGAACCCTCCCCTCTCCAGCTAGTGAATGGAGGATTCAGGCCTCTGGCCGCAGGGCTCTGCTTCCCACATCCTTCCCCCAGTGAACCCAACAGGATTGCGCTCTCCACTTACCAGCTGTTCTGGACTCTTCCCAAAATACTAATTTTATCATTGATAATAACTGAGTGCTGGAGAATGGAAATGACATACTTTGGTCAATTCAAAATGGGCAATCCCACCTGCTCTCTTATGGTCATAGTTATGGCAAGTTCTCCAGTGGAACTAGAAAGCTAGTCCTAAAGGCTGGGACTGAGGTGTAGGGAAGATGCCTGCTTTTAGGCAAATTGGTATCCTTTCTTGGACAACACTGGACTTGGACAGGACTTTAATTTTCTCCAGGTTTCAGTTGGGCCCAAATGCCCAGAAATTCTTTTAAGAGTTGCATCTCCAGAGTCCCTCCTGTCATATTTTTCTCTTCCCTTCCAGGTTGACTCAGACATAGAGGAATTCTCAAGCTGCTCCATACAACCCAGGGAAACCTTTCCTTCTCTCGGTTCTTATGCAGTCTCAGAAACAGAGCCCTCAGAGCCTGATTGAACACTGAATACCACAGACCAATATGGGAGATCAGTAACATCTCCGGGAGCCACTGCCAATGAAATGAATTGAAAGACCCATTGAAGTGGACAAGATATAAGGACTTATTGGAAAATAAAACCCCAAGGTGGCTGTCACCGATGGAAGTGAAAGCCTTGAAAAAGCTCAATATGGAGGTCAAATGGCCGAAATATTGGGAAATTTTAGAACAAGATGGAGATAGATTGAAACTGCAGAGTTTTGAAAAGTTAAAAAATAAAGTGCGAGACTGGCTTCATTATTATCAGATAATGGAGGCATACAATTAGGACAAGAAAATTGGCTTCCAGGTGGAAAAATCAAAATTAGAAACAGAACTGTTAGAACCCAAAACTAAGAATTTGTCAAGAATGTATAACTTGCTGCTGAAATGGAATACTCAAGATGAAACGGTGAAATCTGCTATGATTAAATGGGCACAAGATGTTGGACATAATATTATGTTTGCCGACTGGGAACAGTTATGGACCACAGGTATGAAGTTTACGGCATGTAATGCCCTAAGAGAGAATATTATGAAAATGATATACAGGTGGTACATAACCCCAGTCAAGCTTGCAAAAATTTACCATTTGCCTGATAATAAATGTTGGAAATGTAAGGAAATCGAAGGTACATTTTTCACCTTTGGTGGACGTGCCCAAAGATTAAGGCTGTCTGGGAAATGATAGATCATGAATTAAAAAGGTATTTAAATATACCTTCTTGAAGAAACCAGAGGCCTTTCTCCTGGGCATAGTCGGCCAATCGGTGTTAAAAAAGGATAGAACTTTTTTTATGTATGCAACAACAGCAGCAAGAATACTTATTGCAAAGTATTGGAAGACACAAGAGCTACCCACACTGGAGGAATGGCAGATGAAATTGATGGACTATATGGAATTGGCGGAAATGACTGGCAGAATCCGTGACCAGGGAGAAGAGTTGGTGGAAGAAGATTGGAAGAAATTTAAAGATTACCTACAGAAATATTGCAAAATTAAAGAATGTTAGACTGATGTCGGATTGAAATTAAGTGGTTTCTAGCTGTACAGGTTTTAAAGTTATATATAGATCAAGATTAAGGATTAGGACTAAAAAGGTTAAAAGAATGGAAAATTGGCTATTAATAGGTAAAAATTTAATGTTATATTATATTAAGATCAAAGATTGGGATTAAAAAGGAGGGAAAGGAATTGCTGGACAAACAAACTGAATTTGGAATACAAAAGAGGGAGGTATGAGGAGGTCCAGAAAATAAGTTAATCTAAAAGTAGTGATGAAAGGATGGAAGTGTTTTTAACTGTTTTTTTTTTTTTTCTTTTTGTATTTTGTATACTGTATTTTTCTTTTTAATTTTAAATATTTTTTTTCTTATTGATGTGTTTCTTTTTATGCGAAACTTTAATAGATATCATTTAAAAAAAAAACAAAAGAAGGAGGTATGAGGAGGTCCGGGAAACAAGTAAATGTAAAAGAAGTTATGAAAAGACGGAATTGTTTTTAACTGTTTTTTCTTTTTTTCTTTTTGTATTTTGTATTGTGTATTTTTCTTTTTATTCTGAAAGTCTTCTTTTTTATTAATGTGATTCTTTTTTTGTGAAACCTTAATAAATATCATTTTTAAAAAAATGAAAGACCCATTGAAGATCTCTCAATACTGCCAGTTGAGCCGGAGCTACAGGCTACCCAGCAGCCTTCAACACTGGCCCCAAAGTCCTGTGACTGGGACAGAGATCAACATACCCAGACTTACCCAGTGACTATGGATGGGGTCTCCTTGAGTGCAAGAAATTTCAGGAATGGCTTCATCACCAGCAGCAGTATATAAGGCACTCCTCTTGAGCCTCCCTGTTGCTGGAAACAATACAAGCCTGTTATAAGAAAAGAAAAACTGCTCCTTTTCCCTTATGGGAAACCCAAGAGCCATATAGAGTCCTTTGTAGGTTCTCTATCAGTAGGAGAAAATAACAGAGGCCAACCAGAGAATATAGAGAAGCAAAGCAGCTAGTAAGCCTGATCTTTATTCACTGTTGCAACAGGGTTCTCCCCTCACACGCAGGAAGCAGGTGGGACCGCGAACCATGCACACAAGCCCTTGTATAGACATTTTCAAATTGCCCACCCTGGAGCCCAAGACCCCCCTCCAATACATCATACATACATCAGAGAAGGGAAGGTCTACAACAGAATCCTGTCTGACACAAAACCTCTGATGGGTCACAGTCTCACCCTATTCATACACAGACACACCCTTAAGGCAGGATTTGTGAACAAAGAGACAATGGGGAGGCTTTTCCATTTCCTTCCTCAGTGCAGAGAAATATTTGAAGTGATTGAAAGAGTCAAAATGGCTTTAGGACTGTTTTCCTGTACTGTTTCCAGACATGCGGTTTATATATTTATGTATGAGTTTGCCTTGTACAGTTTGGAACATTTTAAAAAAATATAATACCTTAAAATTCCTATAACGGGTCTCTGGTTCCTTAAACCCAGGCACCTTATAATAATAACAACTATTATTGGTTAGTGTTTTTTAAATTGAAGAAGTAAAATACAGTGACTAAAATAAATTATTTATAAAATTATTTATTATTATTATTATTCTTACTACTACTACTACCATTACTACTACCATAATTATTCCTCATGGAGGGGTGGGCAGGGCTGGTCCAAGACATTTTGGCACCTGAGGCAAACCCCAGGGGGCAATGATGGTATTGTTCTGTGATTGCTGGTTCCATAAGGTGACTCAGGGCTTATTCACACTCCTGGCTTATCAACACTTCCTGCTGGAGCGGTACCTATTTATCTACTTGCACTCTGATGTGCTTTCGAACTGCTAGGTTGGCAGGAGCTGGGACCGAGCAACGGGAGCTCACCCCGTCGCGGGGCTTCGTGTGGACACAGTATTCCAAGTGTGGACTGTCCAAGGCAGAATGGAGCATGACTACTACTTTCCTTGATCTAGACTAGTTCATCTGGAGAATAGGCCTCCTCCCTGAACACCCCCCCCAATTTCAGGATCAATGTGGTGTGGCACCTGCTGGGGGCTCACATTCCACTGATAAGAGCCCTCACCACACCAGACCACCTCCTCTTTCCACCATTGCTTTCTCATTCTTGCCCAAACAATTATGGTGGTTGTCATGGGCCCAGGGGTTTTGGGGCGCAGGCCAGAGGAGGCTGGGGACAGGGAGGAGAAGCCCCAGATGGACTGGCTAGACTGGGACAGACCCTGGGGAGCACAATGAGCCATCCACAGAGAGGATCCTAGAAAGGTCCTAGTGGGGAGGGTTCCCCACTAAGCAAACCACTAGCAAGCTATGTATCCCCCATCTTATATTTGTGCTGCTGGTTATTCCTGCCTAAATTCTCTCTGAATTGCTATATGGTGCCACTGAACTTACACTGCCCAGTTCTCAGCCACCAATATTTAAATTTTCTGCCACCTTTTCTTTTTTAAACTAAAGCATTCTGGTTCCATCCCGATTCAAGTGAAGCCCATCCCTTTTGTAAAGGCCCAGGTTGCCCTCAAAATGTTCTCCAATTCAGAACAAACACAAACTCCTCCTCCAAACACTATCCTGTCATCCACACATTGAGACCACACAGCTCTGCTTGTCCATCTGGCCCTGCATATGGAACTGGTAGTATTTCACAGAAGGCTACCTTAGAGGTCCGGACTTTCAGCATCCTTCCCAGCATCCTAAATTTGGCTTCCAGGCCCTCTAGACTACATTTCCCCATGTCACTGGTGCCAACATGCACTGTGGCCACTGATTCCTCTCCAGCGCTGTCTGCCAGGCTATCTAGGCAATGAGCAACATCCACAACCTTCGTTCACCCCTTGGTTGATCGCACTCCTAACTATATTCTTAACTACCACGATCCCACCACCCACAGGAGACGAATCTTCCCACAAGACGCAGTGATGACCACCATCCTGGACAGCTTGAAAAGAGGATGAGATACATGTTTGGAGGAGAAGACTGTTGAGGGATTCTAGGCAGGATGGCTCTCCTCTGCCTCCTCCACTGAAGGCAGCAATGCTTCTGAATGCTGGAAACCACACAAGGAGAGAGCATCCTGGTCCTCAGGTCCTGCTTGCCAGTTTCCCACAGGCATCCGGCTGGCTTCTGTGAGAAGAACAGAATTCCAGGCTAGATGAGCCACTAACAGGATCTTCTTAGGTTCTGATTTCCCTGATTTCCCCTCGGGAGTTAATTTTGAGGTTTGAGGGCATATGAACATTCCTTTGGGGTTTAGTGACATGTGAGTTTTGCTTCTTTGAACCTCTTCCAAGCAAATAAAAATATGGGCAAGAAGAATGCTTTTGTTGTTGTTAAATTTGTAACAGCCTCCTCAGTCTGCAAAAGCTGCTTGCATTTTTCATTGCTTTGGCTCTGCCCAGATCTGTCAGAAGACCTTTTTTTTTTTATGTAGCTGGTCTTTGCAAACAGCAATTCTGCTCCTCCCCCACATTCCACACCCAGAAACACACTTCCGCAGAGAAGCAAACATAGCTTTTTATTGCAGACGTTTCCTGTTCAGAATGTTGCTGAAACTTCATTTCCAAGGCAGAAATGTTTTCCTGCAGGATTTTTTCCTATGATGTGTCAGTCATTAACTAATACAAAATAAATGTCAGTAAAAAGGAAACAGTGAATTAGAGGAGCCAACCAATGAATAGGCGACTGGGGATCCTGGTGGAACAGAGTCAGTATCTTCTCTGAACTCTGTGTTAACTTATCTCGGTTTCGCAAAAAATAGTGCATAATCATTTTTTCCTGAAACACACAAGCAGATTGTTATTAGATTGCTGCTTAGAATAATTTTTCACTGGGTTAGATCTTTCTGTGTTGAGTTTTCAACAGATAGATGGATAAAACTTTGTTTGCATTAGCCAATGGCCGTAGCAACAGTAAAACATTACAGTATACACAGAAAAGGAAGTTTGATATAAGAGCACAATTTAAAGTCCTGAATCAGCTGTCAGTTAGTGGCCCTTATACTGATGGCCCCTGCTATGAACCCAGCAACCTTTGCTGTTATCTGCTCATTTTGATCTGATAGAAGAAAGGATACTGTGGCAGTGGCTGAGCGCCCTGGGATGGTTAGTACGAGTGGGGTGATGATCTCGTTCCTCAGGTCTTCATAGAGAGTGCAAGAGAGGAGGACGTGTGCCGCTGTTTCGGTGCTGCCATCTCCACAGGGGCAAAGACGTTTCTCAGGCAGGATCTTTTGGAATCGGCCCTCAAGCACCGCAGATGGCAAAACATCCAGTCTTGCAAGTGTAAAAGCACGTCTGTATTTTGGGATAATAAATTTGTGCAGATATGGGGCCAGAGAATCAAAATGGAGAGGTGGAAAATGAACATACCAAGGGCAGAATTTCTTTATATTGGCCAGGTTGTTCTGATGCTCGATATCTTTTAGACGTTGACCAATTAGACTGTTTGCTTTAGTAGGTCCCATAGTGAGTAGGTGTTGTGGGGACAGGCCACAAGAGTGAAGTTTTTGATAGACGGTTTTAAGCCAGGCACTTTTATGGGAGTCTTGAAGTACTGAGGATAGTAAACTGTGTGTGTGTGTGTGTGTGTGTGTGTGTGTGTGTGTGTGTGTGTGAGTTTAGGTGGAGCCAGAAGTTAAGAGTTCTTTGCCAAGTCCGTACTTCTACTGAAGGGAGACTTGCCTCCAGTCGCAATGATGCGTTTGGGATGCATGGCAGTACAGAAAAAATCTGCCTTAGAAACTTTAATTGAACTGCTTCCAAAGTGCTAAGGTGGTTACCAGTCCAAATCTGAGCCCCGTATAGCTGTGCCAGGGGTTTAGCTTGGAAGACTTCTAGGGCTGATGGTATATGTTTGCCACCCTTTGCATGGAAAAAGCAAGTGAAAGTCTTGGTACTTTGGGATGTTTTTTCTTTTGCACATTTTTGGTGTGCTCCCCATGAACCCGTGGACTGGAAGATAAGGCCCAAATATTTGAAAGCTTTGACCTGTTCGATTGGCTGATTGTTCATGTGCCAACTGTGGGGCTTCTATTTTCTTGAGAAAACCATAACTTTGGTTTTCTGATAGTTTACGACCAGGTGTTCTCTCTGGCAGCACACTGAGAATTCTCTTATCAATCTTTTTAGGCCTATTTTTGTTTAGGATAAGAGGACCGCATCATCAGCATATAATAGTACAGAGATTGGTTTTGAGGCCAGTTTAGGAGCATGTAACTCTGGAGATGTAAGGCACTGGATCATGTCGTTTATGTATAGGTTAAAGAGTGCCAAAGCTAAAATGCATCCTTGTTTGACTACCTTTGTGGCTGGTACAGATCCTGTAAGTTGGCCATTTGTAGAGCAACACACTTTCAGCACAGTGTCTTTATAAAGGCAGTTAATAAGATATAATAATCTTTTGTCTATGCTTGAGGTGTTCAATTTAGCCCATAGTCTTACTCATGAGATTGAGTCAAAAGCAGCTTTCAAATCAATGAAAGCAGCATACAGCACACCGCGAGACTGCTTGGCGTACTTATCTATAAGGTGGGCTAGGACGAAACAATGGTCCATAGTGGATCTGCCTTGCCTGAATCCTGCTTGCTCTTCCACAAGGATAGCATCAACATCAATCAAGTTGATTAATATATTGTGGAGGTGTTTTGCATATAATTTACTAACAATAGGTAAGAGGCTGATAGGTTTGTAGCTGGCCGGATCCAATGTAGGGCCCTTTTTGAATATTGGGATGATTACCGCAGTGGCCCAGCTGTCAGGGAGTAAACCAGAAGAATCAATGTGAGAGAATATTGCTGCAAGCAGAGGATCCCACCAGTCAAGATTGGACTTCAAAAGTTCTGGGGGCAGGTGATCAATGCCTGGGGCTTTGTTGTTTTTTAGCTGCGTAATTAGGTCTTTTACCTCAGTTGTGGACACTGGGGGCCAAGCTGGTAAGTTTTCTGGAGATACTGTTGGGTGATTAAGCTGAGCATCCTGGTCTTGGAAAAGTGAGCGGTAGTACTGAGTCCATTCTTGGGGTTCCACAGGACAAATTGTCCCACTATGCTCATGCTCCAGTAGGCCTAATATGTTTCCACAGACATTTTGCAAAGTTCTAATTTTGTAAACTGCTTTGAGGTTTTATGATAATCAAGAAGTATTAATCTTGTGAACTGAAATAAATGAACTTTTGTTCCTTTTGAGGGGAAATTCTACTTATTTTTCAGAATTTTTCCTTGGGACAATTACACAAAGCCAGATATTCCTAAAATTTCAGCATTGCAAAGCTGTGAAAAGATTTAAGTGTTTAATCAACTGCTCTTTTGGACTTCACTAAACATGATAATGACACTCATTTTGTTTGTATCTCCTCCCCCACCACCCTCCCCTCACCAGAAACTTTAAGCCATGCAGTGGGGAATCCAACCCATCAGGTGAAGGGAATCCTAGGAGGATCAGTCTTGTTTCCTGCCAATGTATCTCAAGGAATAACAGTGGAGAAAATTCAATGGAACTTTCTACCCCAAAGGGGTGCCCTGGGCTTTTGGCTGGCAGAATTCAGTCATGGGGAACTGGAGGACCCAAGTCCCACTGACCAGTTTGGGACTGTTTGGGACGGCTAGACATGGTGGACGAGACAACACTGAAGGTCAAAGACCTGGAGTTGAATGATAGTGGGATCTACAGTGCTCGCATCTGGGTTACTAAGACACAGTTTCAAGAACAGCGTTTCAGCCTCACTGTTTATGGTAAGTTATTGCTTTCACTGTTTGACTCATGGAATAGGATTAGCACCACTTTGCAACATAGGTACTGGGAGGGGTGAGACCTTATGCTGTTTTCATTTGTGTTCCACAGAGCCAGTGCCAACACCACAGATACACCACCAAGTGGAATCTAAGACTCCAGGTGGATGTAATGTGACCTTGCGATGCCTCACACCTGGAAGGGAAGAGCTCAATATCTCCTGGGAAACAGGGGGTCCACATAAGGCCTTAGGAAAGAGTGTGAATCAGTACCAGGTTTCTGACAATGGCCGGGAGCGCTGTGTCTTCTACTGGAACAGTTCTTTCAACTCCAAATTCACCTGCCTGGTCAGCAATCCTGTTGGTCAAAAGAGAGCCTCGTTTGACTTGCTCAACATCTGCCAGAGTGATGAAAGTGAGCAATATATCCTTTCGTTCATTATCCAGAGGAGGTTCTTGTGGTGGTGAAAAGGCAGGCTAGCCCTTAACATGAGGGATTTGAGATGTGTTTGTATTAATAAATGCCCCTCTTCCTATGCTTGTGAGCAGGATAAGAGTAAACACAGCACTCATTGCGGACTCCCTTAAGAAATTGATTCAGGGCAGGCATGTGTGTCTGACAGGGCATTAACAGCTCAAATCATTGCAATACGAACGGGACAGATTAGCGACACTTGCTTATCTCTTGTTATTTATTATACTCCTCTTGGCCAGGTGTGAGCATGGGGCTCTGAATCTTGGGGTCATGGGTTGAAGCCCTGCCTTGTGCCAAAGATTCCTGCAATGCAGCGGGTTGGGCTAGATCACTCTAGTTGTCCCTTCCAACTCTACAATTCTATGATTCTATGAGAGTCACTCTGGAGATTGTTATTAGAGTATGTTTTGAGAGACTCTTATTGCTCATTGCAGGTGGACAGTTTGGACTCTTGAGCTGGAGTCCATGGCTTTTACCTTCCCTCATAGTTCTTCTGGTGATAATGGTGATGGTGATGTGCTGGAAGATCAGATTAGAAAGAGGTAGGACCATCTCTATTGATCTTCTTCCCATCTCTCCTGAGGTGGGTGCTTCCTGCCAAATATACCTTTACCTTTCTTTTGCTTATTCTGAGAGGCAGAGACTGGTCAGTGACATGGACTCAATAATGTGTCTCATTTTGCACTCCACAGCTGTGATGCAAGAGAAAGGGGACAGTATCCCGAGCTCAGGAGCCACGCAGAAGATCGTGATGATGAGGTGAGATGATCGGTGTGCAAAGTAATGATGGGGTGATTGTTTTTATCTATCAGTGAAAGCATCTGATACATTTGGGAGGAATTTATCACTTACATTATTATTATTATTAATGTTGCATTCACTTATTCTTTTTTTCAATTTTTTTAAATTGATTTCCCACATTTATCACCAAATGACATAACAAAACACACAACAAAGAAAAACACACTACAATACAATAAAATTAAACACAGAGAAAAATTATTTCTTCAAATATCTAATTCTCTTAACATTGATAACTGACTTCCTTGAATCCCCTCTAGCTGAATTTCATTATATCAGCTTTATAACAGTTCTCCAAGTTCATATTTCTAATAATATTAACTCCTTTCATTTACTAACTTCTTCTCCTTTATCAATATTCTAATCCTTAATATTTACTACCCCGTATCCTTATACTACCCCTAAGCCTATTTGTAACTTCCAAGGATTTTCTATTTATCTTATATTACAATATATAGCTAAATATTCTTTAAAATTCTTCCTATCCTCTTGTGTCTCCTCTTCTTTTTGGTCACGGATTCTTCCAGTCAGGTCGGCCAGCTCCAAAAAGTCCAAAATCTTCATCTGTCATTCTTCTATTGCTGGTATTTCTTGCGATTTCCAAATATGGCTAATAAAAGTCTTGCCGCTGTAGTGGCATACGAAAAACAGTCTAGCATCTTTTTTGGGCAACTCCGCATTCTGTTATTCTTAAAGAAACAACAGCAACAGCAAGAACAAGCAGATTTCAAACAGGCCAGTGACCTGATAATGAATGGCAATCAATTTGGCACAACTTGTCCCTACGAACCATCTCTGCTTGTCTGCAGGAGGCTTCTCTTAAAATTACCTTTCACTGGCACTGGACTCCATCACATCGAGCCAAAATAAACTCTAGCATCTCTCTCTTATGCTGGAAAGGATGCAGAGAGAGTGGCTCATTTTCATGTATGGTGAAGTTGCACATTGGTCTATTCCTATTGGAGTTCCACATTATATGACTCTCACTATACAGTATATAAGGGTCTGGTGACTTCTGTTTCCAGTGTATCTGAAGAAGTGTGCACGCACATGAAAGCTCATACCAATAACAAACTTAGTTGGTCTCCAAGGTACTACTGGAAGGAATTTATTTATTTATTTTGCCATTGGTGTTAGTGGTTCATTGCGCCAGGGCGCTGGCCTCTCAGGGGCGCCCTAGCGAGTGGGGGAGCTGTGCGGCTTTGCCAGCAGCCTCCCCTTTCCCTGTACGCCCTCCAGCTGCGCCCCACCAACTGTATGGCGGGCGTGCAGCTTCCTTCCCAAGCCTCTGCAGGAGGAGAGCGATCCCCGCAGAGCTCCCAAGCCTCTGCATCTGCTAAAGATGGCCCTGATCCCGGTCGTCATCCTCCTCCTGCTTCCTGGCGAAGGCGGCACACAGCCTTCCCAGGCTGCCTTCTTGGGCGCCCCTACGCCAGAGAGCATGTCCACCAACACGTTTTCCTGCTTGATCGCTGTTGCCACACCAGGGATCAGGGTGATGGGGGAGGCAGAGGATATTTTCCACTGCCCCCTCCCTTGTTTTGGAGTTGCCTGGGGGGGCGCCAGAGGGATCTTTGCACCATGGCACTGGATATGCTTAAGACGGCCCTGAGGCAGCACGCCAGAGCGAGAGAGGCTTATCTCCCTCTCACTGTGTTTCTACTCCTCCCAGCTTGTCCTCCCTCCTCTTTGGATCCTCGCTGTCTGTCAGCCCTCTGGCAGCAGGGCTCTGCTTCCCACTTCCTCCCCAAAGTGAACCCAACAGGATTGCGCTCTCTACTTACCAGCTGTTCTGGACTCTTCCCAAAATACTAATTTAATCATTGATAATAACTGAACACTGGGTAATGGAAATGACATTTGTTGTTGTTGTTTAGTCGTTTAGTCGTGTCCAACTCTTCGTGACCCCATGGGCCAGAGCATGCCAGGCACTCCTGTCTTCCACCGCCACCCGCAGTTTGGTCAGGCTCATGTTTGTAGCTTCGAGAACACTATCCAACCATCTCGTCCTCTGTCGTTCCCTTCTCCTTGTGCCCTCCATCTTTCCCAACATCAGGGTCTTTCCAGGGAGTCTTCTCTTCTCATGAGGTGGCCAAAGTCTTGGAGCCTCAGCTTCAGGATCTGTCCTTCCAGTGAGCCCTCAGGGCTGATTTCCTTCAGAATGGAGAGGTTTGATCTTCTTGCAGTCCATGGGACTCTCAAGAGTCTCCTCCAGCACCATAATTCAAAAGCATCAATTCTTCGGCGATCAGCCTTCTTGATGGTCCAGCTATAACTTCCATACATCACTACTGGGAAAACCATGGCTTTAACTATATGTACCTTTGTTGGCAAGGTGATGTCTCTGCTTTTAAGATGCTGTCTAGGTTTGCCATCGCCTTTCTCCCAAGGAGCAGTCGTCTTTTAATTTCGTGACTGCTGTCACGCATCTGCAGTGATCATGGAGCCCAAAAAGTAAAATCTCTCACTGCCTCCATTTCTTCCCCTTCTATCTGCCAGGAGGTGATGGGCCCAGTGGCCATGATCTTCGTTTTTTTGATGTTGAGCTTCAGACCATATTTTGCGCTCTCCTCTTTCACCCTCATTAAAAGGTTCTTTAATTTCTCCTCACTTTCTGCCATCAAGGTTGTGTCATCTGCATATCTGAGGTTGTTGATATTTCTTCCGGTGATCTTAATTCCGCCTTGGGATTCTTCCAGTCCAGCCTTTCGCATGATGAATTCTGCATATAAGTTAAATAATCAGGGAGACAATATACAGCCTTGCTGTACTCCTTTCCCAATTTTGAACAAATCAGTTGTTCCATATCCAGTTCTAACTGTAGCTTCTTGTCCCACATAGAGATTTCTCAGGAGACAGATGAGGAAATGGAAATGACATACTTTTGTCAATTCAAAATGGGCAATTCCACCCACTCCCTTATGGACTTAGTTATGGCAAGTTCTCCAGGAGGCCGTGGAACTAGAAAGCTAGCCCTAAAGCTGGAACAGAGGTGCAGGGAATATGCTCGCTTTTAGGCAAATTGGTATCCTTTCTTGGAGAACGCTGGACTTGGACAGGACTTTAATTTTCTCCAGGGTTCGGGTGGGCCCCAAAGCCCAGGAATTCTTTTAGGAGTTGCATCCCCAGAGTTCCTCCTGTCATATTTTCTCTTCTATGCAGATTGAACACTGAATCCCACAGACCGACCCTGCAGGTTGACTTGGAGAAAGAGGAATTTTCAAGAAGTTGCCCACCACCCAGGGAATCCTTTCCTTCTCTCACTTCTTGTACAGTCTCAGAAACAGAGCCCTCGGAGATTGAACATTGCATGAGAGATCAGGCACATCTCCAGGAGCCACCGCTCAGGAATTCACTGAGGGTCCCTCAGGGGACAGACCCATTGAAGATCTCTCAATGTTGCCAGTTGAGCCGGAGCTACAGCCTACCCAGCAGCCTTCAACACTGGCCCCAAAGGTCCTGTGACCAGGACAGAGAGCAAGATACCAAAACTTATCCAGTGACTATGGAAGGGGTCTCCTCGAGTGCAAGGAATCTCAGGAATGGCTTCATCACCAGCAGCAGTATATAAGGCACTCCTCTTGAGCCTTCCTGTTGCTGGAAACAGTACAGGCCTGTTATAAGGGGGGGGGACTACTACTCCTTTTCCCTTATGGGAAACCCAAGAGCCCATATAGAGTCCTTACGTAGGTTCCCTATTGGTAGGAGAAAATAACAGAGGCCAAGCAGAGAATACTGAGAAGCAAAGCAGCTAGTAAGCCTGATCTTTATTAAAGCTATTGCAACAGGGTGCTCCCTCACACACAGGAGGCAGGAGGAACCCGGAACCATGCACACAAGCCCTTTATATAGACATTTTCAAATTGCCCACCCTGGAGCCCAAAACCACCCCAATACATCATACATACATCAGAGAAGGGGAGGTCTACAACAGAATCCTGTCTGCCACAAAACCAGTGATGGGTTTACCTGGCTGTTAATTAGTTTACCTGGACAGCCTGGCTATTCTTTTTGGATGATAACTACTTAATTCCTGAGTCCAGGTCACAGTCTCACCCTATTCATACACAGACACACCCTTAAGACAGGATTTGAGAAGAAAGAGACAATGGGGAGGCTTTTCCATTTCCTTCCTCCGTGCAGAGAAATATTTGAAGTGACTGAAAGAGTCAAAATGGCTTTAGGACTGTTTTCCTGTACTGTTTCCAGACATGTGGTTTATACATTTATGTATGAGTTTGCCTTGTACAGTTTTGAGCATTTATTTTATATATATTGAAATATACCCGGAGTCAAGTGTGGATTTCTTGCTCTTTATTCAGCTCATAGTAGTGAGGGATGAAAGTTTCCCCAAAATATCTGCTTTATATACATTATTTACACAATGGGCCGCACGTGATTGGCTAATTCCGGGATTCTCCCATAGGCCAATCAGGTTGTGGATTCACTTCCACCTGGAGCTGGATTGGGTGGCTCCTGCGAACCAATAAGACTGCTGCATTCTGAATCCTATTGTTCTAGGACCAATCAGACTGCTCCCTTTTGGATCCTATTCCACTCAGTACATAACATATATAATACCTTAAAATTCCTATAACAGGTCTCTGGTTCCTTAAACCCAGGCGCCTTAAAATAATAACTATTATTTATTATTTATACCCCACCCATCTGGCTGGATTTTCCCAGCCTTGCCTTGCCTTGCCAATCTTTTCCTATTTAGCTTGGACTCTGGTTAGTGCTTTTTTAAAAATAAAGAAGTAAAATACAGTGACTACGGGGCCGCCTCTCCTGGTCTGCCCCGCGGAGGACCTTAAGGTCCACAAATGACAACACTTTGGAGGTCCCAAGTTGCAAGGTGGTTAGATTTGTCTCAACTAGGGCCAGGGGCTTTTCAGTACTGGCCCCGACTTGGTGGAACGCTCTGTCACAAGAGACCAGGGCCTTGTGGGACTTGACATCTTTCCGCAGGGCCTGCAAGACAGAGCTGTTCCACCTGGCCTTTGCTTTGGACTCAGTCTGACCCTTATGTTTCCCTTCCCTTATGATTTTGATCAATGGACTACTTTTAAAAGGAGGCTGCATTTTAAATTGTATTTTAACCTGTATTTTAAATTGTCCCCCCCCCCCCCATTGTGGTTTTATTGTAATTTTACTGGTGTTAGCCGCTCTGAGCCTGGCTCTGGCCAGGGAGGGCGGGGTATAAATAATAATAATAATAATAATAATAATAATAATAATTACTCATGGAGGGGTGGGCAGGGCTGGCCCAAGACATTTTAGCACCTGAGGCAAACCCCAGGGGCAATGGTGGTATTGTTCTGTCATTGCTGGTTCCATAAGGTGACTCAGGGCTTATTCACACCCCTGGCTTATCATCACTTCCTTTTGTTCTGTTGCTTTTCCCTGGGGGAAACTGCTCTTTGGTGCTTAACCAGAGCAAGCAGCAATGGGGTTTTCCACTAAAGAGCAGGTTTTCCCTGGGAAAGCAGTGGGGCAAGTGGGAAACACTAGCACTCCTCCAGGCACGGGACAAGCGGAAGTATGGATGATCCCTCAGAGGAAGGAGCAGCCCTTGAAAAGTGTGTCCTTAGGCAGTATCCTTAACCCTGCAGGCCTCACAACTGCAGCTTCTGGAGACAACAAAATCCACATCTGCTTGCAATTTTGCTCCATCCAGGAACTCGCAGAGGTCTGGCCATTCTCTGATTCTGACCTGGGTGTGCGTCTCAGAGGCACACAGATGCTTTGGGCAGGGTGTCATCAGCCTGAGGTTCTGCTCCATGAAATTACCATGCCATCAGATCTGAACTTCCTCCATGCAGACGGGAGGTGTTAATAGGTCAATAAAGCATATTTTTTAAAGGGGGGTCATTCCTGGAAAGTCTTGTGAGACATAGAATGTGATTAAACATTTGATTTTATGAGAGGCAAAATGCTCTCGCTCTCTCCTGGAGGAGAAGACTGTTGGATCTGGCAAGAGGCTGAATTTGAGAAAAGATTTTGTTTATGAACACTAAATAAGAAATCATGCAGCTAAGGGAGGAAATGATTGGCATGTTTGCAACAGGAGTGGGAAACCTGATTTTAAGAAATTACAAGAAATTATATTAAAATATTTTGGTTTAATTAATAATTTAGAAAATTTATACAAATTATTTGGAGGGTGGGAGATATTTTATTTTGGGAAGGAGACATATTTTCCCTACCAGGGAGACTAAAAGTTAAGGAGGCAAATACTTTAACAACAGCAGAGTGACGGTTCTTGTCTGGTGTCACTAAGCAGGGAGTTCCAAAGAGTAGTGCTGCCAACCCTGAAAGATCGATCCCTTGGAAGTGCAAAGCAAACATTTTGGCATTTATACATGAGCCAGTTCTTCTTGCTGACGAGGGAGGAGGGGGAGAGCTTTTGAGAAGCTTGAACTTGTATTTAGTCTCAAGGGGAGATGTTCTCCTGGTGTCAAGTTTCAAAAAGAGAGAGACAGAGAGAGAATCACAAGTTCAACAGGGAGGAAGGAAGTGGGGCAGCAGCAACCATATCCACCCTGGAGTGTTTTTTTCTGCCCCAGAACCCCTCAAAAAAACCTGAGCTACAGACCCTGGATGCACATTTGCCTACAGAGACCTTCCCTGATGTCCACAGGGTCCCATCACTCCCCCCCCCCCATTTTAGGAAAACAATTTTGCTTAATTTAACATATGTTGCTCCTTTTTCACTAATGCTTGTATTGCTTGGAACACTTTATGATCAATGCATACAAAACATTCATGCACTGATGTGCACACATTTTCCCAGTACATGCATGTTTGTATATATCAATTGACTGCTGAACAGCAAAGCAAAATTCAGACATGTGTGGATTTCGTCTGTCATGGATGGTTTCCTGCATTGAAGGGGGTTGGACCAGATGACCATTGGGAGCCCTTCCAATTCTACCATTCTATGATTCTGTGATTGAAACTAAGTGCTAAAAGCAGCATGGATACTAAACTAAACATAGATACAGAAAAGGTAATGCCTCATGTAGACATAGTGTAAATGGTAACACCTGCAACTTGTATTGAATTTCTTTGTGGGCAGGCACCTTGTGTACATTTCCTATTTTTAGCTCACAGCTTTCTCAGCTCCAAGACTGTAGTTACTCTTTCACTCTGCAACTTTTCCCCCTTATAGCAAGCTTTGGGGCTGTGACCTGCAGCATTTCTTATGCCTGGTAATAAAAGCAGAAGCCTGTTGCTGTACAACTGTGGGCGAATCAACTCTCCACCAAGCAGCAGCCACACCTGAGGCTCCCTATATTCCTGGCCAGAAATATTCATGAATTTTGTGAGCAGGAGCCTCATGATCCTTCTCTCCTTTGGTCCATTGATCTTCTCTTCCCTTGGTAAGTCCTTGCAAAGAAAAGCTGTATGCATAGGGTGAAAAGCTATAGGTTTCCTTGGTCATGAAGGGAAAGTAACTGACAATGGTGAGCTCACCTGGAGAATAGGCCTCCTCCCTGAAAGTCCCCCCCCCCCAATCTCAGGGTCAATGTGGTTTGGCACCTGCTGGGGGCTCACATTCCACTGACAAGAGCACCCACCACTCCAGACCTTCTCCTCTTTCCACCACTGCTTTCTCATTCTGGCCCAAACAATCATGGTTGCTGTCATGGGCCCAGGGGGGTTGGGGTGCAGGCCAGAGGAGGCTGGGGACAGGGAGGAGTTGCCTGTGCAGGATCCCCCAGAGGGACCGATTTGACTGGGACAGACCCTGGGGAGCTCAATGAGCCATCTATGGGGAGTACCCTAGAAAGGTCTTAGTGGGGAGGCTTCCCCTTGTCCCATCCAGGCTCCCTGTGAGTCACCCTAGTGTGCAGCACTGGCCTCATCTTCAGAGCTGCCAGAGTCATGCTATGACTCAACCATTCTATCTGTGGCATCACTGGCTCCACCTCTGGAGCTGACCGAGGCTGCCCCACCCCTGTCTGCTCTAGAGGAGTCCTCTCCCCCCTTGCATAGGTCCCAGGAATGCCAGAGCAAGTCCGAGCCAGCCCTCTCAGAGGGGGGCCTGTTTCCTTGTGAAGCCTCAGGAAAATGCCCTTGGGCTGTGCTGAGTTGCACCCATTCCTAGCCAGAAATGGCACCTGCTGCATATCCAGATCATGTCTTGCCTATGTATCGTACCAGCTTGAGCATTTGAAGTTTCAGTAGAAACTATGTGCGCTGCATCACATTGTTGACTCCTGCCAAACTTTTGCTCTACTAAGACTGCAAGAGCTCCTTCACATGTACTACTAGCAAGCCAGGTGGCCCCCATCTTATATTTGTGCTGCTGGTTAAAGGTAAAGGGACCCCTGAGCATTAGGTCCAGTCGTGGCCGACTCTGGGTTGTGGTGCTCATCTCGCTTTACTGGCCGAGGGAGCCGGCGTACAGCTTCTGGGTCATGTGGCCAGCATGACTAAGCCACTTCTGGTGAACCAGAGCAGCGCACGGAAATGCCGTTTACCTTCCCGACAGAGCGGTACCTATTTATCTACTTGCACTATGACATGCTTTCAAACTGCTAGGTTGGCAGGAGCAGGGACCGAGCAATGGGAGCTCACCCCGTCGCGGGGATTCGAACCGCCGACCTTCTGATCGGCAAGTCCTAGGCTCTGTGATTTAACCCACAGCGCCAACCACGTCCCACTGTGCTGCTGGTTATTCCTGCCTAAATTCTCTCTGAATTGCTATATGGTGCCCCTGCAGCCTCATTCTCAGCCACCCATATTTAATTTTTCATGAAATAATTAAAAGCTGCTCTGCCACCTTTTTATTTTAAAATAAAACAGTCCCGGTTCAAGTGGAGCCCATCCCTTTTGTACAGACCCAGGTTGCTCCGAAATGTTCCCCAATTCAGAACAAAGACAAACTCCTCCTCCAAACACTATCCTGTCATCCACACATTGAGACCACACAGCTCTGCTTGTCCATCTGGCCCTGCATATGGAACTGGTAGTATTTCAGAGAAGGCTACCTTGGAGGTCATGACTTTCAGCATCCTTCCCAGCATCCTAAATTTGGTTTCCAGGACTCCTAGACTACATTTCCCCATGTCACTGATGCCAACATGCACTGTGGCCACTGACTCCTTCCCAGCACTGTCTGCCAGGCTATCTAGGCAATGAGCAACATCCACAACCTTCGTTCACCCCGTGGTTCATTACACACCCAACTATCTATATGCTGATCTATATTCTTAACTACCATGATCCCACCACCCAGAGGAGAGGCATCTTCCCACAAGAGGCAGTGAAGACCAACATCCTGGATGGCTTGAAAAGAGGATGAGATACATTTGTGGAGAAGAAGACTGTTGAGGATTCTAGGCAGGATGGCTCTCCTCTGCTTCCTCCACTGAAGGCAGCCATGCTTCTGAATACCAGCTGCTGGAAACCACAGAAGGAGAGAGCATTCTGGTGCTCAGGTCCTGCTTGCCAGTTTCCCACAGGCATCCGGCTGGCCACTGTGAGAAGAACAGGATGCCAGGCTAGATGAGCCACTGACAGGATCTTCTTAGGTTCTGATGTTCCTGATCTCCCATCTGGAGTTAATTTTGGGGTTTGAGGGCATATGAACATTTCTTTGGGGTTCAGTGACCTATGAGTTTTGCTTCTTTGAACTTCTTTCAAGCAAATAAAAAGCTGGGCAAGTAGAATGCTCTTGTAACAGCCTCCTCAGTCTGCAAAAGCTGCCAGCTCTTTTCATTGCTTTTGCTTTGCCCAGATCTGTCACAAGACTTTTGTTATTAGCCAATCTTTGCAAACAGCAATTCTGTTCCTCCCCTACAATCCACACCCAGGGACAGACTTCCATAGAGAAGCAAACATGACTGTTGCTTGCAGACGTTTCCTCTTCACTCTTTGTTCTGAAGAGCAATAAGACCTCCCCCAGCAGCTGGTTTGTTCAGGAGGCGGGGGAAGAGACTGGCCATGGAGTTGTCATCAGTAGAACAGCAGGAAGTTATAAACAGGCTTGATACACTCAAGCAGCAACTTACACATGTACTTCAAGAGAAAATCTCTTCAAAACCTGGTCATAGCAATCTATTAAATCAAAGGAACGCAGTCATGAAGGGGCTAACACCCCAGAAACCCCTGCCAATCACTGGGACTCCAATAACGGATGATATGGCAGTCTGCCTGGCGGAAGCTCCTCATATACCGTCGCAACGCAGATCCTCTTCACCTCTACTAATAGATTTGCAATCAACTACCTCGTCCCTCGCCTTAAAGAGCAATATGCCAAACACCATTCATCCAGGTAATCTGTCAATGTCCTATTCTTCCATGCCTGACCTGGAGTCCTCATTCAGTGCGGCCCAGGCAGATGACTGTATATCCTCGTCCTCTGTCAGTCAACCTCGCTTGGTAGATCCTCTTGTATCCGTAACCTCTTCAAGCCAACATATAAACGTTAAGGAAGCCACTGTGCAAAGAGACAGCTCAGGCTTTATTGAAGACCCTGCTGGCCACATCAATCAAATTACCACCCCTTCGATACCTTCGGCTGTATCACGCCTGGCGCGGTCTCAGACCCTTGGCAATGCTTCTTCCACCAGCAACCAGAGTATCTGACTAGCACATAGTCCCTCCCCAAACTGCTTCAATGTGCTATCCTGGAACGTGGCGGGATGGACGTCCAAACAGGATGGCGGGGATATGATAGAGTTTTTAGCGAAATTCCAGATTATGGGTATACAAGAGACCTGGTGCTTAGAATCGTCACCCCCCCCTTCCCTATTGGGCTATGATGCTTTTGTGATTCCTGCGACCAAAACACATTTGTATGGGCGCCCTAGTGGAGGCCTGGTAACATTTGTTTCGCAGGAGCTTCATCTTAATATCTCTCCTCTCCTTTGGTTAGAGAGTAATTGTATTCAAATTTTGCACATCACTAACAGCCCGGTTGGGGACTTCATATGTGTTAATTTGTACAATCCATCTACCTACTCCTCTTCCCATACAAATCGGTTTTGGGAGGATCTAAGATTTATCCTTGATAAATCTGTGGCTGAATTCCCAAAGTCAGAGATCCTCATAATGGGGGACTTTAATGCCAGAATCGGAGCAGATATAAGCTCATTCACCGATAAGTCGCAACTATTCATACAAGAGGAGTGGTTTCCTACGTGGAATTCACATGACAAGACCATTAATAGGGCTGGCATCATACTGTTGGAGTTTACCATTAACTGCGGGCTGCACAGCTTGCATGGTACACCCAAAGACTGGTCCGGGGATACTATACTTTTCTAGGATCTAGAGGGGCAAGCGTTATAGATTATATCTGGTCCTTTTCGGCACTTAATGATAAGGCATATTGTTTCAATGTGTTCAACAGAACCGAAAGTGACCACCTTCCTATTGCCATCTCCTTCCACCACACACAGCTGGGGCTCCCAGCTCACTCCCCCACCAGGATTCACTGACCTTAGCCCCGGTCGTAAGAAGTGGGATATCTATTTGGAGCAAGACATAAAAGTCCTCCTAAATTCCCCTGAGATCCTAGCCCTGAAAGCTCAGCTGGTAACAATGAATGTGAATCATTTCTCAAGTTTCCAACAAATTCTAGCCTACTTGCTCCCAACACTTACGAAACCCTCCCGTGCGAGTCTAACCTGGAAGAATCAAACTTGGTTCGACCAAGAATGCAAACAGTGCAGAAGTAGGCTTAGATTTCTTCAGTCTGATATGAAATCAGACAGCACCCAGAGCAAAATCAGGGAGTTAGCCCAATTCCGTTCTTACTACAAGAAGTTGCTCCAACATAAGAAATTGATCTTTGCGAAAGAACGCTGGACGGCATTGTCAGTGGCCATTAAAACCCGTGACGACAAGAAATTCTGGAATTTAATTAATGCAGGTTTAAGACCCCCCTCATTCATCGTTAATAACATCACAGCAGCCAGTTGGCACTCTCACTTTGCTCAGCTGTATTCTGCCCCAGATTCCGACGTAAACGCAGTTTCCACTCTTCCTGCATCTCCCTTGCCCACCTGGGAGCCAGTCTCCCCAGAGAGATGTGTACAACTAATTAGCATGTTATCAGGGGATAAATCCCCGGGGGAGGATATGATTCCACCCGAGGTATTCTTATCGAACCAGATGTGGTGGGCCCCTATTTTTGCATCTCTCTTTACCACTATTAATGCCACTCTTAAGATCCCGCCAAATTGGAAACAGAGCATAGTCATCCCAATACATAAAAAGGGGGACCCACAAGATCCGCGTAACTATCGACCCATCAGCCTGCTAGACATATCATACAAGGTTTACTCTAGATTCTTGCTAGAGAAATTAATCGAGTGGGCAGAAGAAACAAAGCTATTCCACCCGGAACAGGCTGGCTTCCGTAAAGGTCACAGTACATCTGGCCAATGTCTTGTTCTATTTACCCTGATTGATAAATACCTAAACAGGTTTAACTGCAAACTACACGCGGCTTTTGTGGACCTGACCGCCGCTTTTGACTCCATTCCCAGAGATAGGCTATGGCAGAAGCTTAGTTACACCAACATAGATAAGAGACTCCTCCTTCTTCTTATGGAAATTCATAATGACATATCGGCCAGAGTAAAATTCGGCCCCCTGGGAGCTCTTTCTGATTCTTTCCCTCTGAATAAAGGGGTCAAACAGGGCTGCCTCTTGGCCCCTTTTCTATTCAATTTCTATATCAACGACATCGTTACAACTATGCAGGCCCTAAATCAATCTGCCCCCTCTCTACAACAGCTCAAGATCCCCATATTACTCTATGCGGACGACATGGTGATACTGTCTTTAACCAAGCAGGGCTTAAACAACATGCTCAGAGGGCTCATGACATATTGTGATACCAATTCCCTCAAAATCAATTTCGCCAAAACCAAAATTCTTACTTTTGGCACGAAAACTCGGAAGTCATTCTGGAACTTTGAGGGCCACTCTATTGAATATTGCTCAGCTTTCAAGTATTTGGGAATCACTTTTCAGCATGGGCTTAGCTGGTCAGCTCACCTAAATATGACCATCCTGGCTGCCCGTAGAACCATCAAAGCCTTGGAGAAATTCTTCTATGCAAAAGGCGGCCAGTTGGTTCCACCAATCAGAAAAGCATTTATTAGCAAAGTCCTCCCGATGTTACTGTATGGGGTTGAAATCTGGGGGTGGAATTTAAAAACACTTCAACGGCTGGAGATTCTACAAAACTCTTTTGTACGAAAGATACTGGGTCTCCCCAAGGGCTCGGTTGCTGCTCAGTTAAGAACAGAACTGGGCCTCCCCTCCATTGTTGCGAGAGCCCATATTAGAATTATTAGTTTTTATTGCAAATTAATCAATGCCCCAGGTTCCCTACTAGCCAGGCAAGCCTTTTTAACTTGTTCTCACTCCAACAAATGGTCCAAGGCCATGGAGACTATTACTGTACGCTACTCCCTCCCAGAATTCGACACGTTGTCATCTTGGGACCAACATAAAATCCGGGACTGGATTCTTATAAGAGATGAGGCCATGGACCGGGCACAGTCCACCTCAGCTCGCCTCTCCATGTGGCTCCCTAAAGTGAAAGTGGTAAGATCACTTGCCAACTACTTGATAGACCTGACGGAGCCCAATTTGAGAAGAGCGTTTACAATGGCCCGTTTTCATTCTATACCCACGGCCTTCTTGCAGGGGACCTACTCTAAGACCCCTATTACTCAGCGTCTATGTCCATGCACAATGAATGAAGTAGAGGACTTCATACATTTCTTTTCTACTGCCCTATTTATGACCCAATAAGACCTAAGCTCCTCCTCTTGATCCCGTCCTCCATTTCATCTAAGGAAGACTGTCTGAAAGCACTTCTTGTGGACGCAAATCCCCAAATTTCACGTGGGGTGGCAATCTTCATAGTGCAGGCTCTGAAACTCAGGGCTACTCTGACAGGGTAGTGTGCCCTAGTCCTGGACCTGTTTAATTCTTTTATTACCTTCTTAACTCAATGTGCTGAGCCTATTTTGGGGCCATTTTATGTTTTATTTATATCCGCATACTAGTTTTTGGTGCTGGCAACCAAATCTTTGTATTATTGTCTTAGGGTGTTTTAAATGTCATTACGCCAGCAATATCGCTTTGAATTTTGCTTGGTTGCTTGTCCCCAACATTTTTGTATTGTCTTATTTTGCTATGGCTGTATGCTAATGCAATTAAATTAAAATTGGAATTGGACTGGCCATGGTTGTCCTCCCTGACATTTGCCTCTTGCAGTTGCCAGACTCCTCTGGAGAAGGATATGGGAGCCAGCTGTATGCCATCTTCCCCTCTGAGCTGTATTTAAGCCACACTGCTTGGAGTGTAGCAAGACCAGGGCCAGAAACTTTATTATCAGTTAACTCTTGTGTTGCTTTGTATTTGCACAGACAAGCGGAGACCCCGCAACTCCGGGCAACACCCAAGTGGAATAATGACTCAAGACAACGTGTTATGGGATTAAAATTTGGCCACAACTTTATTAAAGCTTCAGATGTAGGGAGACCTTGGCTTAGGCATTGGGTGTTTATCCCTCCCAGTCCCCACCTGGGGATCTGGGGAACATCAGGGTTATCCAGAATGTGGAGGGGCTGAGCTGGCTCTGGAGTATTTTGGCAAACGCATGATAAATTCAATATCCCCCCCCCAATTTGGGGCTTAAGTACATAAAGACCGCCGCCCACATCAAATGGGGGGTGCCTTTTGCATGGTCGCGCGCAGCCCCCCCATCCCATGTGGCTCCTGGTTCAAGCAGAGAGCCCGCCCCCCATTTCGCTGCCGTTGCAGGGGGAGAGCAATGACAACCTATTGGCATATGGCCAATGCCTCCCCTGAAAACAACCCCTTTAACGGGGAACCCTGGGATCGCACCACGGGGGGGGGCATGGGTCACCCTTCACCCCCCCCCCCCAATTTAGGGAAGATAGGCTAAAGGATTCCACCCAAGTCATGAAACCGCCAAAGCTGTGATATTTTGCTACGGGGATGGCAAAACCTGCCAATGTGGGAAAATTCCTTTCCAGCCCTTCAACAGTGACGTGACATAGCAGCACCTGCGTACCTGTGAAGAAGAGGTTAACCTGCAAAGAAGGCTTAACTGAGGGAAGGGAGGGTGGGAGAAGCTGTGAAGTGGTCTGAGAACTCCCAGGTAAGTTCCGCCCACTATTGTGTGGGCTGTGCTATCCCTCCCCTTACCTGGCCAACACTCTCCTGGCAACGCCTCCCCAGCTGGGATTGGGCAACTGGCAGAGGTAGGCCTCCAGGTGTCCAGCCTTGTGGGGGCGAATCCAGGCTGTACTGCCAGGAGCCACATGGGATGGGGGGGGCTGCGCGCGACCATGCAAAAGGCACCCCCCATTTGATGTGGGCGGCGGTCTTTATGTACTTAAGCCCCAAATTGGGGGGGGGGATATTGAATTTATCATGCGTTTGCCAAGATACTTTATTCCTATCATTTTTTACGTTTACTGTCATATTCTGTATTTCAAACATTTGTATTTCCTTTTTTTAAAATGATATTTATTAAAGTTTCAAAAAATACAAAAAATACAGAATACAGAAAGAAAAAGAATAAAGTTTTTAAAATATAACCAAAAAAGTAAAAAAAAAAACATACCAAATAAGACAGTTAAAAAGACATTAATTTTCCATAACCTATCTTCCCTACACTTATTTCCCCGGACCTCCTCATACCTCCCTTTTTTGTATTCCAGTTCAATTTGTTAGTTCAGCAAATCCTTACCATTAAGCTTTTACCCAATTGCAAACCTTTTTCATATCTCTTAAAGCATTACAGCTAAAAACCTCTTAGTTTCTATCCAACATCCTTCTAAGATTCCTTAATTTTACAATATTTCTGTAAATAGTCTTTAAATTTCTTCCAGTCTTCTTTCACCGACTCTTCTCTCTGGTCTCAGATTCTGCCAGTCATTTCTGCCAGTTCCATGTATTCGATCACCTTCATCTGCCATTCTTCCAGAGTGGGTAGATCTTGTGTCTTCCAATACTTTGCGATGAGTATTCTTGCTGCTGTTGTGGCATACATAAAAAAAGTTCTATCCTTCTTTGGCACCAATTGGCCGACAATGCCCAGAAGAAAGGCCTCTGGTTTCTTCAGAAAGGTATATTTAAATACCTTTTTTATTTCATTATAAATCATCTCCCAGAAAGCCTTAATCCTTGGGCACGTCCACCAAAGGTGAAAGAATGTAACTTCTGTTTCTTTACATTTCCAACATTTATTATCGGGCAAATGATAGATTTTTGCAAGCTTGACTGGGGTCATGTACCACCTGTATATCATTTTCATAATATTCTCTCTTAAGACATTGCATGCCGTAAACTTCATACCTGTGGTCCATAACTGTTCCCAGTCAGCAAACATAATATTATGTCCAACATCTTGTGCCCATTTAATCATAGCAGATTTCACCGTTTCATCCTGAGTATTCCATTTCAACAGCAAGTTATACATTCTTGACAAATTCTTAGTTTTGGGTTCTAACAATTCTGTTTCTAATTTTGATTTTTCCACCTGGAAGCCAATTTTCTTATCCAAGTTATATGCCTCCATTATCTGATAATAATGAAGCCAATCTCTCACTTTATTTTTTAGTTTCTCAAAACTCTGCAATTTCAATTTGTCTCCTTCTTGTTCCAAAATTTCCCAATATTTCGGCCACAAACATTTGTATTTCCAATGCTCTGTATTTTGATGTTTTGAATGGCTGCTGTGAGTCACTTTCGGCTCAGCTCCTTGTGGAACAGATGCATATAAATAAACTCAATCAATCTTGCTTACTAGTGCCCAGTTTCTGGTGCCACAGTGATCTTTGTTACTGAGCTATGTTTGTAGGACAATCTGTGTATATGACAAACACAAAAGAGAGCCCAACCGTAGGTGGCGAGAGAACCAATGATCGGTAGAGCCAACTAATTCTATTTCTGTCCCCACCTGTCCTACTGAGAGCTATGAGAGCAACACAGATACTAAAGAGGAAAGGCCAACTGGCAGGCTAGATGAAAGTGAAAAAAGAAAACAGATGGATTCACTGCAAGATACTATAAAGAAATGAAATACACCCTACTTGCGCCAATGAAAGAAGTTATGAATAATATATTAAAGAAGGGAGAATTACCAGAAACATGGAAAGAAGCTTATATTACACTCATTCCGAAGCAAGATTCAGACTTAACGCAAGTAAAAAACTATCAGCCGATTTCTTTGTTAAATAATGATTATAAGTTAATTGCAAGCATATTAGCAAACAGGATGAAAAAATATATATTGAAAGAAATAATACATAAAGATCAGGCAGGTTTTCTTCCTGGAAGACAAATGAAAGACAATATAAGAAATATAGTTAATATAACTGAATATCTGACAGCCAGGAATGAAAAACAAGCAATGTTAATTTTTGTGGATGCTAAAAAGGCCTTTGATAATATATCTTGGGAATTTATGTTAAAAAATTTAGAATTCATGGATATGGGTCAATTCTTTCTAAATGGAATAAAAGTGATATACACAGAACAAAGAGCAAAACTGATTGTAAACAATATAGTAACAGAAAATATTGCAATTACTAAAGGCACAAGACAAGGATGTCCTCTTTCACCATTATTATTCATATCGATTCTGGAAGTCTTTTTAAGATCGATAAGAAGAAATGAATTAATAAAGGGTGTCACAGTCAGTCGAAATGAGTATAAAGTAAAAGCCTTTGCTGATGACTTGGTATTAACAATTGAAGAACCATCTACAAGTATTAAAGAGGTATTAGAGGAGATAGAACAGTTCGGCCAAGTGGCTGGCTTTAAACTGAATGAAAAGAAAACTAAGATAATTGTTAAAAATATGAAACAGGAGTTGGTTGAAACATTGCAGCAACAAATAGGTATAGAAGTGGTTAAGAAAGCCAAATATTTAGGAATTTGGTTAACTTCAAAAAATATTGATCTGTTTCAAAATAATTATATACAAATGTGGAATAGTGTTAAAAGAGATCTAGAGGTATGGGGAAGGTTGAAGTTATCATTTTGGGGTAGGATTGCTGCGATAAAGATGAATGTGCTACCAAAGATGTTATTTTTGTTCCAGACAATTCCAATAATCAAAGGGGCAGCAATATTTAAAGAATGGCAAAAGATAATTTCAAGATATATCTGGAAGGGTAAGAAGCCGAGAATACAATATAAGTTATTAACAGAGGCTAAAGAAAGAGGAGGCTTCGCCCTGCCAGACTTGAAATTGTATTAGGAAGCGTTGTGCCTCTGTTGGTTGAAGGAATGGATGAAATTATAAAATACTGAATTGCTGGACCTGGAAGGGTATGATAATAGATTTGGTTGGCATGTGTATCTATGGTATGATAAGAAAAAAGTCCATAAAGGATTTGGAAACCACATATTTCGAAGATCTCTTATATAAGTTTGGGATAGGTATAAAAACCTATTGGAACAAAAAACTCCACATTAGAAGCGATGTGTGTTAAAAAGGTCAATATCAGTGGGAAATGGATAACATACGGGAAATTAATAATTAGAGAAGAAGGAAAATGGAAACTGAAACCATATGAAGAGGTGAAAGAGTATGTTAATGATTGGTTACATTACTATCAGGTTAATGAAATGTTTAAACAAGATTTTAAAGAGAAAGGCTTTCAGGATAAAGAATCGAAGTTTCAACAAGAGATATTGAATAATGATATTAAAATTTTGTCTAAAATGTATAAATTGTTGCTTGAATGGCACTTAAAAGATGAGGAGGTCAAGTCGGTTATGATTCATTGGGTCAAAGATTTCGGGTATAATATACAGCTGAGTGATTGGGTAAAATTATGGAAAGAAGGTTTAAAATTTACTGCATGCAATGCTCTAAAAGAGAATATGATGAAAATGATGTATAGATGGTATATTACACCAGTGAAGTTAGCAAAAATGTATAAAATTAGTAATAAATGTTGGAAATGTAAGGCAAAAGAAGGAACATTTTATCACATGTGGTGGGAATGTAAGAAGGTGAAATGCTTCTGGGAGATGATATATAATGAGTTGAAAAAAATGTTGAAATATACATTTTTAAAGAAACCAGAAGCATTTCTCTTGGGTATTGTTGGAGATGATATAAATAGAAAGGAATGTAAGCTTTTTCTATATGCAGTAACAGCAGCAAGAATGTTATTGGCCCAAAAATGGAAGCAAGAAGAATTACCAAAGATAGAAGAATGGAGGATGAAATTAAAGGACTATGCGGAACTTGACAAACTAACAGGAAGGATTCGAAACCGGCGGGACCAGAAATTCACCGAAGACTGGAGTAAATTTATGGATTATTTGAAAAGTATTTGTGATGACCAGAAGACGTTTGTAGGCTTGCAAGAAGTTCTGTGAGGAATAAGTTAAGAAATATTGTAAAAATGTGAAAGAAGAGATGATATGTTAAAAGAGGTAATGGCAATATTAAGTTGTTGTTGTTGTTTAGTCATTTAGTCGTGTCCAACTCTTCGTGACCCCATAGACCAGAGCATGCCAGGCACTACTGTCTTCCACTGCCTCCCGCAGTTTGGTCAAACTCATGTTTGTAGCTTCGAGAACACTGTCCCACCGTTTCATCCTCTGCCGTCCCCTTCTCCTTGTGCCCTCCATCTTTCCCAACATCAGGGTCTTTTCCAGGGAGTCTTCTCTTCTCATGAGGGGGCCAAAGTCTTGGAGCCTCAGCTTCAGGATCTGTCCTTCCAGTGAGCCCTCAGGGCTGATTTCTTTAAGAATGGATCGGTTTGATCTTCTTGCAGTCCATGGGACTCTCAAGAGTCTCCTCCAGCACCAGAATTCAAAAGCATCCATTCTTCGGCGATCATCCTTCTTTATGGTCCAGCTCTCACTTCCATGCATCCCTACTGGGAAAACCAGAGCTTGAACTATACGGACCTTTGTTGGCAAGGTGATGTCTCTGCTTTTTAAGATGCTGTCTAGGTTTGTCATTGCTTTTCTCCCAAGAAGCAGGCGTCTTTTAATTTTGTGGCTGCTGTCACCATCTGCAGTGAATATTAAGTTAGGAAATGCATATGAAGTGATTAAGATGGAGGATTATCAGAGGTGCTGATGGAAGTCCAACAAGATTGTATTTGTAATAAATTGTGTGGTATGTTTTCTAATTTTGTATGATAAAAAAGCAATAAAAAAAATTTAAAAAAAGAAAGTGACAAAAGAAGACAGGTGGGGACTGGCTAAGGACAGGCTGAACCAAGCAATGCCCCACTCACCCTCAGCGAACAGTCTCCACTGCTGTGAAGTGCTGGTGCTGCACATTTTCAACTGTTTCTCTTCTTTGCAGTGGTTTTGCAGGACTCCGAAAGGTTGGGTTTCCCCAGCCACTCTGGGCCACTTCCAACCAAATACAGTGGTGCCCCGCAAGACGAATGCCTCGCAAGACGGAAAAACCGCTAGACGAAAGGGTTTTCCGTTTTGAAGTTGCTTCGCAGGACGAATTCCCCTATGGGCTTGCTTCGCAAGACGAAAATACCTTGCGAGTCCTGAGATTTTTTTCGCTTTCCCCCTTTATCTAATCTGCTAAGCCTTTAATAGCCTTTAATAGCCTTTTAGCAGCTAATCCCTAAGCCTTTAAGCCTTTAATAGCCGCTAAACAGCTGATAGCGCTAATAGCGCTAATCCGTCAATGGGCTTGCTTCGCAAGACGAAAAAACCGCTAGACGAAGACTCTTGCGGAACGGATTAATTTCGTCTTGCGAGGCACCACTGTATTGAAAACAATACAGCTTCAGACATTAAAAACTACCCTAAACAGGGCAGCCTTCAGTTGTCCTGTAAAACTAAAATAGTTGTTTATTGCCTTGACATCTGCTGGGAGGGCATTCGACAGGGCAGGCGCCACCACCGAGAAGGCACTCTGCCTGGTTCCCTGTAACCTCACTTCTCGCAGCAAGGGAACCGCCATAAGACCCTCGGAGCTGGACCTCAGCGTCCGGGCTGGACAATGGGGGTGGAGACGCTCCTTCAGGTATACTGGACCGAGGCCATTTAGGGCTTTCAAGGTCAGCACCAACACTTTGAATTGTGCTCGGAAACGTATTGGGAGCCAATGTAGATCTTTCAGGACCAGTGTTATATGGTTTCAGCGGCCGCTCCCAGTCACCAGTCTAGCTGTCGCATTCTGGATTAATTGCAGTTTCCGAGTCACCTTCGTAGGTAGCCCCACGTAGAGCGCATTGCAGTTGTCCAACACCTACTCTTAACAGAACAGAAACCTTTAACAGGCACACAAGCAGGAGTACAGCAGGTGTGCATTGCTAAAACACATAGAAGCACCCTGACCTTGCACTCTTTCTCCTTCTCCACTGCTCCTTCCTGGTTTATAAGGGGAGGAACAAAGAGCTGTGAAAGGAGGAGTCAGAAACAAAGGAGGGAAAACACAGTTTTTCTTGGATGAGAAGGGGAGGGGAAGTGAGCACAGACAGCCTTGCTGGTTTAAAGAGCAGGATCTGATCTGCTGGGAAGCGAGAGGACGGAAGGAAATGACCATTGTGTTTGAAAATTCGTGACTCTTGCTAATAAGACTCTGGACTCAGGCAATGCTTATAAGATGGATGAACCGGCTTATTTTAGGGCATCTATCCTGTGCAGAAAAATGAAGCTGTTCTCCTCATGGTGGTGAAACAGATACCTCAATGGGATGTGCACAGGCAGGACTTGAGCTCAACAGCAGCAAATCTCTCCATCTGTGATTCCCAGAAACAAGCATTCTGGTGCGTGACTGCCACTCATGGCTCTTTAGCAATCCACAATTGTGGATTTTTCTCACAAAAGACCTCTTCTTCAGACTATTGCTGTACTCTTCCTTGGGTAAGGACTTCACTGCTTCTCCCTCAAAAACAAAACAAAAACAAAAACCCCACCTAAATGCATGGAGGGGGCAATCTGAGTTTGATTTGTCATGAAGAGGGAAATCATTGGCAATATTGGTTACTAGCACACAGGGCCTTCTCTCCCCAGCTTGAACCCTCCCAGAACACCCTGGCTGGCTTTAAAGGAAGCTCCAACAGAAGACTTTTGAGAGTTTAATTGTATATGTGATATTTGTTACTGAGCTGAACTTGGGAGAACAATTTGTTTATAGGATCCAGGTGATCATCTCCCCTGAAGGTGTGGGGTGGAACAGAATAAAAGCACAGGACATGCTGACAAGTTAACCTCATCTCCAGGGCAGAAATATTTTCCTGTGGGATATTTTCCTATGATGTATCAAGTTATTCACCAATATAAAATAAATGTCAGTAAGGAGGAAACCAGCATCTTAAAAACAGAGGCATCACCTTGCCAACAAAGGTCCATATAATTAAAGCTATGTGTCAGGGAACTGACATCGGAGCCAGAGGCGGAGGCAAGGCTCTCAAGCGATGCTGGAGAAGGGCCCAGCAGGGAGAGAGGCAGCTCATCAGCTGGGGAAGGAAATCAGCGTAACACCAGGGATAAAGGGGGGCATCGGCGAGGGGGCTCCAGGACTCCTCGCTGGAGACCAGCGGGGAGAGCACGGGTCCTCTGCTACCCACAGCCTCCCTGCACAGAAGACTTCCGCGCAGGGAGAGTAGGAGGAGACTTGGGGTCAAACAGCTTTTATGCTGGAAAAGGTTTAAGGAACGCCCACTGACGGATTCTGCTAGCAACTGAGGCAGCCACGAATTGAAGGGCTGTCCAGACCGAAAAGGTTTAACAAGGCAACATAGCCAGGAGTGGCGACAACTTACGCACGAGCAACCCCTATATTTATTACACTATGGTTTTCCCATTAGTGATGTATGGAAGTGAGAGCTGGACCATAAAGAAGGCTGATCGCCAAAGAATTGATGCTTTTGAATTTTGGTGCTGGAGGAGACTCTTGAGAGGCCCATGGACTGCAAAAAGATCAAACCTATCTATTCTTCAGGAAATCAGCTCTGAGTGCTCACTGGAAGGACAGATCCTGAAGCTGAGGTTCCAGTAATTTGTCCACCTCATGAGAAGAGAAGACTCCCTGGAAAAGACCCTGATGTTGGGAAAGATGGAGGGCACAAAGAGAAGGGGATGACAGCGGACGAGATGGTTGGACAGTGTTCTTGAAGCTACCAGCATGAGTTTGACTGTGGGAGGCAATGGAAGACAGGAGGGCCTGGCGTACTCTGGTCCATGGGGTGACAAAGAGTCGGACATGACTAAATGACTAAACAACAACAAAGAGGAAACAGTGAATTAAAGGAGCCAATCAATGAGCAGGAAAAGGCGACTGGGGATCCTGGTGGAACAGACTCAGTTTCTTCTCTGAACTGTGTGTTAACTTATCTCATTTTAACACAAAAATAGTGCATAGTACTTTTTTCCTGAAACACACAAGCAGATTGTTTTTAGAATGTGGCTTAGAATAATTTCTCGCTGGGTTAGATCTTTATGTGTTGAGTTTTCAACAGCCATTTTGCAAAGTTCTGATTTTGTAAGCTGCTTTGAGGTTTTAGACAATCCAGAAGTATGAATCTTGTGAACTGAAATAAAGAACTTTTGTTCCTTGTGAGGGGAAATTCTACTTATTTTTCAAAAATTTTCCTTGGGACAATTACACAAAGCCAGATATTCCAAAAATTTCAGCATTGCAAAGCTTTAAAAAGATTTCAGTGTTTAATCAATTGCTTTTTTGGACTTCACTAAAAACAATAATGAAACTAATTTTGTTTCTATCTCCTCCCCCACCACCCTCCCCTCACTAGAAACTTTAAGCCATGCAGTGGGGAATCCAACCCATCAGGTGAAGGGAATCCTGGGAGGATCAGTCTTGTTTCCTGCCAATGTATCTCAAGGAATAACAGTGCAGAAAATGGAATGGGACTTCCACCCCCAAAGGGGTGACCTGGGATTTTGGCTGACAGAATTCAGTCATGGGAAACTGGAGCACCCAGGCCGTACTAACCGGTTTGGACAACGGCTAGATATGGTGGACAAGACAACACTGAGGATCAAAGACCTGGAGTTGGATGATGGTGGGATCTACAATACTCGTATCTGGTTTACTAAGGCACAGTTTCAAGAACAGAGTTTCAGCCTCACTGTTTATGGTAAGTTATTGCTTTCACTGTTTGGCTCATGGAATAGGATGAATAGGACCCAAACCTTATGCTGTTTTCATTTGTGTTCCACAGAGCCAGTGCCAACACCACAGATAGACCACCAAGTGGAATCCAAGACTCCAGGTGGATGTAATGTGACCTTGCGATGCCACACACCTGGAAGGGAAGATCTCAGTATCTCCTGGGAAACAGGGGGTCCACACAGGGCCTTAGGAAAGAGTGTGAATCAGTACCAGGTTTCTGACAATGGCCAGGAGCTCCGTGTCTCCTTCTGGAACACTTCTTTCGACTCCAAATTCACCTGCCTGGTCAGCAATCCTGTTGATCGAAAGAGAGCCTCCTTTGACTTGCTCAACATCTGCCAGAGTGATGAAGGTGAGCAATACATCCTTTCCTTCATTATCCAGAGGAGGTGCTTGTGGTGGTGAAAAGGCAGGCTAGCCCTTAACATGAGGGATTTGAGGAGATGTGTTTGTATTAATAAATGCCCCTCTTCACATGCTTGTGAGCAGGATAAGAGCAAACACAGCACTCCTTGCGGACTCCCTTAAGAAATTGATTCAGGGCAGGCATGTGTGTCTGACAGGGCATTAACAGCTCAAATCATTGCAATACGAACGGGACAGATTAGCGACACTTGCTTATCTCTTGTTATTTATTATACTCCTCTTGGCCAGGTGTGAGCATGGGGCTCTGAATCTTGGGGTCATGGGTTGAAGCCCTGCCTTGTGCCAAAGATTCCTGCAATGCAGGGGTTGGGCTAGATCACTCTAGTTGTCCCTTCCAACTCTACAATTCTATGATTCTATGAGAGTCACTCTGGAGATTGTTATTAGAGTATGTTTTGAGAGACTCTTATTGCTCATTGCAGGTGGACAGTTTGGACTCTTGAGTTGGAGTCCATTGCTTATCTCTTCTGTCATAGTTCTTCTGGTGATTTTGGTGATGGTGATGCGCTGGAAGATCATATTTAAAAGGCGTAGAAGAGGTAGGACCATCTCTATGGATCTTCTTCCCATCTCTCCTGAGGTGGGTGCTTCCTGCCAAATATACCTCTACCTTTCTTTTGCTTATTCTGAGAGGCAGAGACTGGTCAGTGACATGGACTCAATAATGTGTCTCATTTTGCACTCCACAGCTGTGATGCAAGAGAAAGGGGACAGTATCCCGAGCTCAGGAGCCATGCAGAAGATCGTGATGATGAGGTGAGATGATCGGTGTGCAAAGTAATGATGGGGTGATTGTTTTTATCTATCAGTGAAAGCATCTGATACATTTGGGAGGAATTTATCACTTCCATTATTATTATTATTAAAGTTGCATTCACTTATTCTTTTTTTCAATTTTTTAAAATTGATTTCCCACATTTATCACCAAATGACATAACAAAACACACAACAAAGAAAAACACACTACAATACAATAAAATTAAACACAGAGAAAAATTATTTCTTCAAATATCTAATTCTCTTAACATTGATAACTGACTTCCTTGAATCCCTCTAGCTGAATTTCATTATATCAGCTTTATAACAGTTCTCCAAGTTCATATTTCTAATAATATTAACTCCTTTCATTTACTAACTTCTTCTCCTTTATTAATATTCTAATCCTTAATATTTACTACCCCGTATCCTTATACTACCCCTAAGCCTATTTGTAACTTCCAAGGATTTTCTATTTATCTCATATTACAATATATAGCTAAATATTCTTTAAAATTCTTCCTATCCTCTTGTGTCTCCTTTTCTTTTTGGCCACGGATTCTTCCAGTCAGGTCGGCCAGCTCCAAAAAGTCCAAAATCTTCATCTGTCATTCTTCTATTGCTGGTATTTCTTGCGATTTCCAAATATGGCTAATAAAAGTCTTGCCGCTGTAGTGGCATACAAAAACAGTCTAGCATCTTTTTTGGGCAACTCCGCATTCTGTTATTCTTAAAGAAACAACAGCAACAGCAAGAACAAGCAGATTTCAAACAGGCCAGTGACCTGATAATGAATGGCAATCAATTTGGCACAACTTGTCCCTACGAACCATCTCTGCTTGTCTGCAGGAGGCTTCTCTTAAAATTACCTTTCACTGGCACTGGACTCCATCACATCGAGCCAAAATAAACTCTAGCATCTCTCTTATGCTGGAAAGGATGCAGAGAGAGTGGCTCATTTTCATGTATGGTGAAGTTGCACATTGGTCTATTCCTATTGGAGTTCCACATTATATGACTCTCACTATACAGTATATAAGGGTCTGGTGACTTCTGTTTCAGTGTATCTGAAGAAGTGTGCACGCACATGAAAGCTCATACCAATAACAAACTTAGTTGGTCTCCAAGGTACTACTGGAAGGAATTTATTTATTTATTTTGCCATTGGTGTTAGTGGTTCATTGCGCCAGGGCGCTGGCCTCTCAGGGGCGCCCTAGCGAGTGGGGGAGCTGTGCGGCTTTGCCAGCAGCCTCCCCTTTCCCTGTACGCCCTCCAGCTGCGCCCCACCAACTGTATGGCGGGCGTGCAGCTTCCTTCCCAAGCCTCTGCAGGAGGAGAGCGATCCCCGCAGAGCTCCCAAGCCTCTGCATCTGCTAAAGATGGCCCTGATCCCGGTCGTCATCCTCCTCCTGCTTCCTGGCGAAAGGCGGCACACAGCCTTCCCAGGCTGCCTTCTTGGGCGCCCCTACGCCAGAGAGCATGTCCACCAACACGTTTTCCTGCTTGATCGCTGTTGCCACACCAGGGATCAGGGTGATGGGGGAGGCAGAGGATATTTTCCACTGCCCCTCCCTTGTTTTGGAGTTGCCTGGGGGGGCGCCAGAGGGATCTTTGCACCATGGCACTGGATATGCTTAAGACGGCCCTGAGGCAGCACGCCAGAGCGAGAGAGGCTTATCTCCCTCTCACTGTGTTTCTACTCCTCCCAGCTTGTCCTCCCTCCTCTTTGGATCCTCGCTGTCTGTCAGAATGAGAACATCCCTGACATTTTCATTAAGACCAATAAACGTTATTTGGATTCAAAAACCAAAAACAGGCCAGTGACCCAAACCTCCTGATCAAAAGACCTAACAGATGGATTATGGCACAAGGCGAGGCAGGCAGCTTGTGCAAAGATCCTGTTCCCATCAGGGGAACATGCATTTCCAGTTTAAGTGAGCAGAATTGAACCCTCCCCCCTCCAGCTAGTGAATGGAGGATTCAGCCCTCTGGCAGCAGGGCTCTGCTTCCCACTTCCTCCCCAAAGTGAACCCAACAGGATTGCGCTCTCTACTTACCAGCTGTTCTGGACTCTTCCCAAAATACTAATTTAATCATTGATAATAACTGAACACTGGGTAATGGAAATGACATTTGTTGTTGTTGTTTAGTCGTTTAGTCGTGTCCAACTCTTCGTGACCCCATGGGCCAGAGCATGCCAGGCACTCCTGTCTTCCACCGCCACCCGCAGTTTGGTCAGGCTCATGTTTATAGCTTCGAGAACACTATCCAACCATCTCGTCCTCTGTCGTTCCCTTCTCCTTGTGCCCTCCATCTTTCCCAACATCAGGGTCTTTTCCAGGGAGTCTTCTCTTCTCATGAGGTGGCCAAAGTCTTGGAGCCTCAGCTTCAGGATCTGTCCTTCCAGTGAGCCCTCAGGGCTGATTTCCTTCAGAATGGAGAGGTTTGATATTCTTGCAGTCCATGGGACTCTCAAGAGTCTCCTCCAGCACCATAATTCAAAAGCATCAATTCTTCGGCGATCAGCCTTCTTGATGGTCCAGCTATAACTTCCATACATCACTACTGGGAAAACCATGGCTTTAACTATATGTACCTTTGTTGGCAAGGTGATGTCTCTGCTTTTTAAGATGCTGTCTAGGTTTGCCATCGCCTTTCTCCCAAGGAGCAGTCGTCTTTTAATTTCGTGACTGCTGTCACCATCTGCAGTGATCATGGAGCCCAAAAAAGTAAAATCTCTCACTGCCTCCATTTCTTCCCCTTCTATCTGCCAGGAGGTGATGGGCCCAGTGGCCATGATCTTCGTTTTTTTGATGTTGAGCTTCAGACCATATTTTGCGCTCTCCTCTTTCACCCTCATTAAAAGGTTCTTTAATTTCTCCTCACTTTCTGCCATCAAGGTTGTGTCATCTGCATATCTGAGGTTGTTGATATTTCTTCCGGCGATCTTAATTCCGCCTTGGGATTCTTCCAGTCCAGCCTTTCGCATGATGAATTCTGCATATAAGTTAAATAATCAGGGAGACAATATACAGCCTTGCTGTACTCCTTTCCCAATTTTGAACCAATCAGTTGTTCCATATCCAGTTCTAACTGTAGCTTCTTGTCCCACATAGAGATTTCTCAGGAGACAGATGAGGAAATGGAAATGACATACTTTTGTCAATTCAAAATGGGCAATTCCACCCACTCCCTTATGGACTTAGTTATGGCAAGTTCTCCAGGAGGCCGTGGAACTAGAAAGCTAGCCCTAAAGCTGGAACAGAGGTGCAGGGAATATGCTCGCTTTTAGGCAAATTGGTATCCTTTCTTGGAGAACGCTGGACTTGGACAGGACTTTAATTTTCTCCAGGGTTCGGGTGGGCCCCAAAGCCCAGGAATTCTTTTAGGAGTTGCATCCCCAGAGTTCCTCCTGTCATATTTTCTCTTCTATGCAGATTGAACACTGAATCCCACAGACCGACCCTGCAGGTTGACTTGGAGAAAGAGGAATTTTCAAGAAGTTGCCCACCACCCAGGGAATCCTTTCCTTCTCTCACTTCTTGTACAGTCTCAGAAACAGAGCCCTCAGAGATTGAACATTGCATGAGAGATCAGGCACATCTCCAGGAGCCACCGCTCAGGAATTCACTGAGGGTCCCTCAGGGGACAGACCCATTGAAGATCTCTCAATGTTGCCAGTTGAGCCGGAGCTACAGCCTACCCAGCAGCCTTCAACACTGGCCCCAAAGGTCCTGTGACCAGGACAGAGAGCAAGATACCAAAACTTATCCAGTGACTATGGAAGGGGTCTCCTCGAGTGCAAGGAATCTCAGGAATGGCTTCATCACCAGCAGCAGTATATAAGGCACCCCTCTTGAGCCTTCCTGTTGCTGGAAACAGTACAGGCCTGTTATAAGGGGGGAGGGCTGCTCCTTTTTCCTTATGGGAAACCCAAGAGCCCATATAGAGTCCTTACGTAGGTTCCCTATTGGTAGGAGAAAATAACAGAGGCCAACCAGAGAATACTGAGAAGCAAAGCAGCTAGTAAGCCTGATCTTTATTAAAGCTATTGCAACAGGGTGCTCCCCTCACACACAGGAGGCAGGAGGAACCCGGAACCATGCACACAAGCCCTTTATATAGACATTTTCAAATTGCCCACCCTGGAGCCCAAAACCACCCCCAATACATCATACATACATCAGAGAAGGGGAGGTCTACAACAGAATCCTGTCTGCCACAAAACCAGTGATGGGTTTACCTGGCTGTTAATTAGTTTACCTGGACAGCCTGGCTATTCTTTTTGGATGATAACTACTTAATTCCTGAGTCCAGGTCACAGTCTCACCCTATTCATACACAGACACACCCTTAAGCCAGGATTTGTGAACAAAGAGACAATGGGGAGCCTTTTCCATTTCCTTCCTCCGTGCAGAGAAATATTTGAGGTGACTGAAAGAGTCAAAATGGCTTTAGGACTGTTTTCCTGTGCTGTTTCCAGACATGTGGTTTATATATTTATGTTTGAGTTTGCCTTGTACAGTTTTTAAACTTTATTTTATATATATATATATATATATATATATATATATATATATATAATGCTTTAAAATTCCTATAACTGGTCTCTGGTTCCTTAAACCCAGGCACCTTATAATAGTAACTATTATGTATTATTTATATCCCACCCATCTGGCTGGATTTTGCCTTGCCTTGCCAATATTTTCCTATTTAGCTTGGACTCTGGTTAGTGCTTTTTTAAAAATAAAGAAGTAAAATACAGTGACTACGGGGCTGCCTCTCCTGGTATGCCCCGCGGAGGACCATAAGGTCCATAAATGACAACACTTTTGAGGTCCCAGGTCGCATGGTGGTTAGATTGGTCTCAATTAAGGCCAGGGCCTTTTCAGTACTGGCCCTGACTTGGTGGAACGCTCTGTCACAAGAGACTAGGGCCCTGCAGGACTTGACATCTTTCCACAGGGCCTGCAACACAGAGCTGTATCACCTGTCCTTTGGTTTGGACTCAGTCTGACCCTTATGTTTCACTCCCCGAGAGCCAGTGTGGTGTAGTGGTTAAGAGGGGTAGTCTCGTAATCTGGGGAACCGGGTTCGCGTCTCCGCTCCTCCACATGCAGCTGCTGGGTGACCTTGCGCCAGTCACACTTCTTTGAAGTCTCTCAGCCCCACTCACCTCACAGAGTGTTTGTTGTGGGGGAGGAAGGGAAAGAAGAATGTGAGCCGCTTTGAGACTCCTTAAAGGGAGTGAAAGGCGGGATATCAAATCCAAACTCCTCCTCCTCCTTCTCCTCCTCCTCCTCCTCCTCCTCCTCCTCCTCCTCCTCCTCTTCTTCTTCTTCTTCTTCTTCTTCTTCTTCTTCTTCTTCTTCTTCTGGTTTTGATCTGTGGGCTACTTTTAAAATGAGGCCGCATTTTAAATTGTATTTTAACCTGTACAGTGGTACCTTGGGTTACATACGCTTCAGGTTACAGACTCCGCTAACCCAGAAATACAGTGGTGCCTCGCAAGACGAAATTAATCCGTTCTGCGAGTCTCTTCGTCTAGCGGTTTTTTCGTCTTGCGAAGCAACCCTATTAGCGGCTTAGCGGCTTAGCGCTATTAGCGGCTTAGCGGCTTAGCGGCTTAGCAGCTATTAAAGGCTTAGCGGCTTAGTGGCTAAAAGGCTATTAGCAGCTTAGCTGCTTAGAAAAGGGGGGGGGAGCAAAAAAAAATCGCAACACTCGCAAGACGTTTTCGTCTTGCGAAGCAAGCCCATAGGGAAATTCGTCTTGCGAAGCAGCTCAGAAACGGAAAACCCTTTTTTCTAGCGGGTTTTCCGTCTTGCGAGGCATTCGTCTTGCGGGGCACCACTGTAGTACCTTGGGTTAAGAACTTTGCTTCAGGATGAGAAGAGAAATCGCGTGGCAGCAGCGGTGCAGCGGCAGTGGGAGGCCCTATTAGCTAAAGTGGTGCTTCAGGTTAAGAACAGTTTCAGGTTAAGAACTGACCTCCAGAACGAATTAAGTTCTTAACCCGAGGTACCACTGTATTTTAAAAAAAAAAAATCCTATTGTGGTTTTATTGTAATTGTACTTGTGTTAGCTGATCTGAGCCTGGCTCTAGCTGGGGAGAGCGGGGTATAAATAAAATTTATTATTCTTATTCTTATTCTTACTACTACTACTACTACTACAATTATTACTCATGGAGGGGTGGGCAGGGCTGATCCAAGACATTTTGGCACCTGAGGCAAACCCCAGGGGCAATGGTGGTATTGTTCTGTGATTGCTGGTTCCATAAGGTGACTCAGGGCTTATTCACACTCCTGGCTTATCAACACTACCCGCCAGAGCAGTACTATTTATCTACTTGCACTTTGACGTGCTTTCAAACTGCTAGGTTGGCAGGAGCTGGGACCGAGCAATGGGAGCTCACCCCGTCGTAGGGATTCGCGTGGTGTCTAGAATTGAACACAGTATTCCAAGTGTGGTCTGTCCAAGGCAGAATGGAGCATGACTACTACTTTCCTTGATCTAGACCAGTGGTGGCCAAACTTGGCCCTCTAGAGGAGTATTTCCGGGCTAGATGGTGCAAGACTAAAACATGGTCCGTAGTTGACTGGTTCGGTCTGAATCCTGCTTGCTCAGGGCCTATCAGTTTCTTTTCTTCAGCCCATTGGGTAAGTCTATTCTGCAGAAAACGTGCGTATATCTTTCCAACTATTGACAGTAAACTAATAATCCTATAATTCTCCGGATCGTCTGGGGAGCCTTTTTTATATATTGGAATTATAATAGAATCCTTCCATATTTTTGGCACCCTTCCAGTTGTATTAATGGCATCAAAAGTAACAGCCAGGATTTTTGCCCACCAGTCGGAATGTAGTTTTATGGCTTCCGCCGGAACCAAATCTGGCCCAGGGGCTTTGCCGATTTTAAGTTTAGAGATTAAATTCAAGATTTCATCGGGGTCAGTAGGAGGCCAGATAGGGAGATGGTCAAATACATCATCAAGAGCGTTGGTATTGGAATCTGGTGACGCAAAATATTTCCTTAAAAAGGATTCCCAGACTGGGGCAGGAATTATTGTTAAGGGATATCTCCTTGATCTTCTATTAACCAGTTGCCAAAATTGCCGTGAGCTACATGAACTAGAGGCGACTATTAGCGCCTGCCAGCGATTATGTTGCCACTCTTGCTTAGCCATTCTCTGGGCTTGCTTATATGCTGTTTTTGCTTGCTGGTAATTCCTAGGTAATACTAAGGCACCAGAAGATTTATATTCATTGTAAATGGCACAGAGATGTCGTCTAGCTTGTTTGCATTTTAAATTAAATGTAAAAAAAGGACATAAGATCTTCTGTAAGCAGAGAAAATGAATTAGTAATTTGTTCATGCCCATACAAATCTAAATCCAAAGCAACATGAGTTTGAATTATCTCTTGTTGGAAAAATTCCATATATTTTTGGGCTTGAGTTACTGACCATTTTATTCCTCTCACTTGTTCTGCAGTATTTATTCCCATATTTATGGGGTGTCTAGGCTTGATAGACTGCCAGTCTAGGGAAAGCTTGGCACTCAAGGGGAGATGGTCGCTCATTTGGACGTTTTCTATTTTAAAATAAGAAAAAATTGGGAATAGATCTCTGGAAACAATAAAATAATCGAGAACACTATTTGTAAGTGTGCTCAAATGAGTAAACTCACCCGGAATATCCGGGGGACAATTTCCGTTTAAAATTATCAAATTCAAACGTAAAATCAGTTGATAAAGAAGGGTTCCCGCTTCGTTAACCCTATTATCTTTCGATTTTCTCTGTATATGGGGGGAGAAATCCAAGTTCTGGTGATCAGGTATGACCCACCATTTGGCCTTGCCTAGCGCTTCCCAGTTTGCAGCTGTACGAGCATTAAAATCACCTCCCATGACTGCTGAAATATTTGGGAACTTAGTGTAACAGAAAGCTAGGTGTTCTTCAAGTGTTTCCCATTTGGAATGGAGGTCCACTACCTGCCCCCCAGGGGGGAAATAGACATTTGTTACCAGTAATTCAAATTTCCCTCCTGAAATCAGTCCTGTAATCGCGTAAGGAGAGGAAGATTTAACAAGTGTAAGTTTTGCTTGCAATTTGAGGGAAATGGCTATTACCAAACCTCCCCTAGGGCGTCCACCTTTAAGAGAGGGGCTAGCTGGGAGCAAAATGGTATCGTATCCATTTATGTCAATCGCCTCCTCTTCCCAAGTTTCTTGTAGGAGAATTACTTGAAATAAATTAACAAATTTTAAGAAGTCTGGATCAGATTTCTTCCCCCTCCATCCCGCAATATTCCAGCATAAAAATGACATCGAGGAGTGGTTGGGTTGGTCGTTAGGTAGTCAGATCATGTGGGAATGGGATTCTAACTTTGGGGGAGCTTCAGCTTCAAAAAAATCAGTAATTTTCCTTTGAGAAGGTGGCAATCGTGCTATACATCCCAACTGTTTGAATTTATTTGGGTGGTTTGGCTGTAAAGTCGTGCCACTCGTCTCGCTAAAGGCAGATGTTTGGCCTAAGATAGTCGACTTTTCAGAGCCAGATGGTAGAATTATGGGGGTATTACTTAGAGAGAGCCAAATTAAGTCAGCAGGTATCGTGCCACTAGTTGAGTGATCATTAGTTGTTTGGATAATTTTGTTAATACGACCTGTCGGGTCTTCAACCAGATCATTCTTCGGGACTAAAAATAAAATGGAGTCGTCTCTCATTTGTTGGTCTGGTTCAGCTGGTTCTGTTACCGGTTCGATGGTATCTATGGATTTATTCAACTTGCACACATTAGAAGAAAGTGGGTTAATAAAATTACAAGTAAGTGGACCCATATGGGACACTTTACATGGAGAACCTAATTCAGATTCGTTAAGTTCCCTCATTTTGTGTCCCAAGCAGATGTTGTAGTCATATTTGCCTTAGAGAAGGGGTGCATAATAGATGGGTCTGGTGATGGGGTTTCCGCCTCCAGAGTATGGAAGAGTGGATTCATCTCCGCAACAACCAGTTGGCTGGTAGGGGTGGGTGCCTTCCCAACCCACAGGTCCAGTTCTTGGTGGTATAAGCGTGGGACAGAATCTGAACCACAGTCTCTATCAAGCATATTTTGTTTAGGTAATCTCAGCTGTTCCTCCGTCACTTTTGTCAGGCAGAAATAAAGGGAATCAATTTTATGGAGTATTTCTTTCTGGACTTCTTGTGGGAGAACACTATAAGAATGGAGTAAGTTATTATCAAAGCTATCGAGGTCGATTCCCTTATTCTCCGCATACCTGGGCCCAAGGAAGTCCAACCTCTGAGAGTCCTTGGTAACCAGACCAGTAGGATGTTTGGAGATGTCCTCCGCAGAGTTTATATCAATTAGAACATGTTGATCAATCTCATGTTGAGTTTTTGGCAAATTTACAATATGGGGGATAAGTGGAATTGGAGGTGCTTCATTCTTAAAGTACCTTGAGATTCTTATACCACTCGTCTCCAGGTGTTCTCTACGTTTGTACACTAGTTTTGCCAATCTCCCCTCGTAGAATGAAACCACCGCTCTGGCAAGGAATCCGGTGAAGTATAGATATTCCACTTGGGCCAAATCAGTAGGGTTATTAAGTATACCCAGCATATAGATCTTTAAAAGGTTCAATAGATGGGCTTTACGCTCTTCTTGTGACAGGAGTCCTGGGGGTTTAGGATAATTTGATAAAACGAGTTTGTTTCAGTACAGCACCAGATTCCAGTTTTTATTTGTTAGATTTGTCTGATTTCTCTTCTTAGAAGGATTGGTTTCATCTACAGATAGAATGTAAGACCATGGATCTTGGATCAAAGTGTCTTGCTTGGAGTTAGGTGTTGGGGTAAGTGTTAAGAGTTCCAAGCAATCCATCGCAGCGTCAGGGCAAGGGTTTATAGAGCGTTCTTGCTTAGAATATTTCCTGGTTAGAAGTTTCTCAGTGTTCCCACTGTTCTCGGTTATTGGGATACTCTTGAGAAGATTAAAAAGCTTTTTAAAAACCATTTTTTTGTAACGCATTGCCTTAAAATTTTTAACATTTCTGCTCTTTTTTACCCTTATGCGCCTCTTTTTCAAGGCAGTAGCCCTACAAGATCTCTTGGCATTCCTTGGTGGTCTGTTTTTGCAGGTGGTAGGAAGGAAGTTGTTATTACTTTCCAATTCTACAGTCACCCCGCTGGATTCCCTACAGAGAGTTTTGCAAGTATCCATCATTATAGTGAGGATTTTTGTACAGGTGGCCAGATGGGATTTTATATTTTCGATATCCTCAGTTAGAAGCACAAGCCGTTTGATAACTGATAAATCCTCATCCTCATTTGTCTCAAGTTGGAAGCAGGAGTCTCTTGATGTTTTAGGGTTTCCCCGAAGACATCTCTGCAATTTGTTTTAACATTAGTTCTTCCACTTCTCGGACTCGGGATGGTTCAGGAGAAGCTTGGGATTTAAGTCTCTGTTTTGGGAGTAGTTCGGTGACTGTACCAATTGTGTTTGGATTTACTTTGGGCTTTATTGGCCCTTTGTTGTGGCATTCTTCTACACAATCCTCTCTCTGCACAGCCGATCCTTCAGTGCAGGAGGGAGACGTTTCAGTTTCCTGCTGAATCTCACTCGGCTTGACTTCACCCCTATTCTTAAAGGGTCGAGTGCTTTTTGTTTGAGCTCCCTTTAGGGTAGCTCTTTTAGAGAGAGGTCTTAGATCACTCCGATAAAAGCCTGGTGTTCTACAGCCACTCCTGGTCGTCACCATTATTAATCTCGCGAAGGTCAAGTTGGTAAAAATCTCACCTCGGTTCATTAGCTCCGTCGGATGTTGCAGGAGGGTTCTCTGCGGGACTACTTCCAAGGTAGGCAGGTAATTGAGACCAATTCACTGAGCTCCTTTGCCCTGGTGGTGGAGGCCGCGGCGGGGTCAACCTTTCGGGCTGTGTCACCCTCCTAGCCCAGTGGGAAGGCATCCAAATAACAAGGAGGTAAAACCATGAGATGATAAAATAGGGCAATAAAACAATAAAGTAGAATAATAAAAGAATCATAAAACTGGAAAGTGGTGAGAGCAGCTGCCTTCACCCTGCCTCACAGATCAGTGGCCACCTTGGATATCTCCAAAGAGTAGTGCTGCCAACCCTGAAAGATCGATCCCTTGGAAGTGCAAAGCAAACATTATGGCATTTGTACATGAGCCAGTTCTTACTTTTTGGTTCCATCTTTGTTCTATTATTTCTTCTCCTCAGCCTTCATCATACTGTGGGATGAGGTGGAAAGTTTTTGAGAAGCTTGAACTTGTATTTAGTCTCAAGGGGCAGAAGATCTCCAGGTGTCATGTTTCAAAAGGAGAGAGAGAGAGAGAGAGAGAGAGAGAGAGAGAAGTTCAACATGTGGGGCAGGATCCCAGCTTCAGCACCACCCATATCCACCCCAGAGTGGCTTGCTCTCCCCCTGAACCTCTCAAAATAAGCTGGGCTAGAGATCCTGGAGGCGCATTTACCCACAGAGACCTTCCCTGGTGTCCACAGGGTCCCATCTCCCCTCCCCTCCATTTTAGCAAAGCAATTTTACTTAATTTAACACATTATGTTTTATTTTCACTAATGCTTGTATTGCTTGGTACACCTTATGATTAATGCATACAAAACATTCATGCACAGATGTGCACACATTTTCCCAGTACATGCATGTTTGTACATATTAATCGACTGCTAAACAGCAAAGCAAAATTCAGACAAGTGTGGATTTCATCTGTCATGGATGGTTTAGCTAATATTCCTTCATTTAAGGGGGGTTGGACTAGATGGACCCTTGGAAGTCATTCGAAATCCACAATTCTATGATTCAAACGAAATGTTAAAATCAACAGGGGGTTACTAAACATATACACAGAAAAGGTAATGCCTCAAGTCGTCATAGTGTAAAATAAAAGAATTGCAACTTGTATTGAATTTCTGTGTGGGCACCTGGTGCGCATTTCCTGTTTTAGCTCACAGCTTTCTTAGCCGGGATGACTGTGGACAAGCTTGTCAGTTACTTCACACAATTTCCCTCTTAGAGGGAGCTTTGGGGCTGTAGCTTTTCTTATGCCTGAGAATAAAAGCAGGAGCCACGTGATCCTTCTCTCCTTTGGCCCATGGATCTTCTCTTCCCTGGGTAAGTCCCTGGGTAGAAAAAGCTGAATGCATAGGGCAGGCTTCCCCCAACTGGGCCCTCCAGATGTTTTGGGACTACAACTCCCACCATCCCTAGCTAACAGGACCACTGGTCAGGGATGATGGGAGTTGTAGTCCCAAAACATCTGGAAGCCCCAGTTTGGGGAAGCCTGGCATATGGGGACAATCTATAGGTTTGCTTGGTCATAAAGGGGAAAGAAACTGACAACGCTGAGCTCATCTAAAGAATAGGTCCCCTCCCTGAAAGCTCCCCGCCCCATCTCAGGGTCAATGTGTTTGGGCACCTGCTGTGGGCTCACATTCCACTGACAAGAGCCCCCACCCCACCAGACCTTCTCCTTTCCACCACAGCTTTCTCATTCTGGCCCAAACAGTAATGGTGGGTGTCATGGGCCCAGGGGGTTTGGGGGCGCTGGCCAGATGAGGCTGGTGACATGGAGGAGACACCCCAGAGGGCCTGGCTAGACTGGGAGCTCAATGAGCCAGCCAGAGGGAGGATCCTAGAAAGGTCTGGAGAAGGATATGGGAGCCAGCTGTATGCCATCTTCCCCTCCCCTCTGAACAGTATTGAAGCCAGTTGTTCTCAGTTAACTCTTGCGTTGCTTTGTATTTATGTACTTAAGCCTGGATTTTTTGTGGGAGGGGGGATATTTACTTTCATATTCCATATTCTGTACATTTGTACTTCCAATGCTCTGCCTTTTGACGTTTTGAATGTTTGCTGTGAGGCAGCTTGGGCAGAGCCCATTGTGGAAGGGACGCATACAGATAAACTCAATCAATCCCAGTCAAGAGGGAAGTATCTGAGGCAGCTGATCTTGTTTACTAGCATCCAGTTCCTGGTGAGGGTGGGGCAATGCAACAGTGATCTTTGTTATTTGATCTCATTTCATAGAACAATCTGCGCATCAGACGAAGGCGGAAGTACCCCTAAACAAATATTTTTTAAAAAGCACTGGGTAGAGCCAACTAATTCTAGTTCTCTCACTGCCTGCCCTACTGAGAACTACAAGAGGAACACAGATACTAAGGAGGAAGGGTCAAGTGGGAGTAGAAAGTAAAAAAGGAAAACAGGTGGGGAATGGTTAAGGACAGGCGGACGCTGTCCTAAGGGAGGGAACAGTCTCCACTGCTGTGATGTGTTGCTGCACATTGCAACCTTTTCTCTTCTTTGCAAGGGTTTAGCTTCAGGACTCTGAAAGGTTGGTGGTCTCCAGATGTGAGTGAGAATCAAACACCTTTTCTTAACAGAAACCTGTAACAGGCAGGTGTATAACACAAAGAGAAACACCCTGAGCTTGCAACTCTTTCTCCTCCTCCACCAATCCTTGCTTGGAATTACCTTTGTACTTCTACAATGTCCTTCTCTGATGCTTCCTGGTTTATTAGGGGAGGAACAAAGAGCACAGACAGCCTTGCTGGTATAAATAGGTGGAGGATCCGATCTGCTGGGAAGCGAGAAGACGGATGGGATGATGATTGCGTTCCAAAGTTCACAACTCTTGCGAAAAACTCTGTACTCAGGCTACGCTTATAAAGTGGATGAACCGGCTTATTTTAGAGCAACTATCCTGTGCAGACAAATGAAGCTGTCCTCCTCAGAGTGGTGAAACAGATGCCTCAATGCCCATAAGCAGGACCTGAGCTCAACAGGCACAAGTCTCCCCATTGGTGAGTCCAAGAAAGGGGCATTCTGGTGCCCCACTTCCGCTCATGGCTCTCTGCACCTCTGGAGAGATACGATGGTGGATTTTTCTCACAGAAGACCTCTTCTTCAGACTATTGCTCTACTCTTCCCTGGGTAAGGACTTCACTGCTTTCTCTCTCACTCACTCAGAAACCACAAGTAACCCACCTATATGTATTGTTATGCATAGATAATTTTTTTGGCAATATTGGTTACTAGCACTCAGGTCTCCTCTTCCCATCTGGACTCCTCCCAGAACACCCAGGCTGGCTTCAAAGGAAGCTCCAAGGAAGACTTTTGAGAGTTTAATTCTCTGTGTGATATTTGTTACTGAGCTGAAATTGGGGTGGGACAATTTGTGTGTATGATGAAGGTGATCATCTCCCCTGAAGGTGTGGAGTGGAACAGAATAAATGACATGCTGGCAGCAAGTCACCCTCATTTCTAGGGCAGAAATGTTTTCCTGTGGGATATTTTCCTATGATGTGTCAGTTATTCACCAGTACAAAATAAATATCAGTTTAGAGCCAACAGTGAATTAGAGGAGCCAACCAATGAGCAGGAAAAGGCAACTGGGGATCTTGGTGGAACAGAGTCAGTTTCCCCAAAATTTAACCAATGGGCAGATGATCCGCAAAACAGATGTTCCCCAAAATTTGACCAATGGGCAGCTTTGAAAAGATTTAAGTGTTTAATTGATTGCTTTAGATACAGATGACGTTCAGACCTGAGCCATGAGCCAACAATGTGACGCGGCAGCTAAAAAAGCCAATGCAATTCCGGGCCTCATCCATAGGAGTATAGCATCTAGATCAAGGGAAGTAATAGTGCCACTGTATTCAGCTCTGGTCAGACCTCACCTGGAGTACTGTGTCCAGTTCTGGGCACCACAGTTCAAGAAGGACACTGACAAACTGGAACGTGTCCAGAGGAGGGCAACCAAAATGGTCAAAGGCCTGGAAACGATGCCTTATGAGGAACGGCTAAGGGAGCTGGGCATGTTTAGCCTGGAGAAGAGGAGGTTAAGGGGTGATATGATAGCCATGTTCAAATATATAAAAGGATGTCACATAGAGGAGGGAGAAAGGTTGTTTTCTGCTGCTCCAGAGAAGCGGACACGGAGCAATGGATCCAAACTACAAGAAAGAAGATTCCACCTAAACATTAGGAAGAACTTCCTGACAGTAAGAGCAGTTTGACAGTGGAATTTGCTGCCAAGGAGTGTGGTGGAGTCTCTTTCTTTGGAGGTCTTTAAGCAGAGGCTTGACAACCATATGTCAGGAGTGCTCTGATGGTGTTTCCTGCTTGGCAGGGGTTGGACTCGATGGCCCTTGTGGTCTCTTCCAACTCTATGATTCTATGATTCTATGACCTCACACTATTTTATTTCTAAACTTTATACTTTTTTTAAAAAAAAAATATTCTGGGCCAATCTTCTGTCTGAGTTTTTCTGGATCCCAGTTCCTGGACACCAGGACTTGGAATGTAACTTTGGGCTTGTAAAAACTTCCTTCTCTTATACTAAAGGGCCACGTTGCTAAGACAGCTAGGAGAATGCAGTAAATGTTTAACTAGAGAGAGTTGGGCAGTTCCAAGTACAATGTACAATTCAGCAACAGTTAAGATTAATCTTGGACATTGTAAACTTCCTTGGATTTTGGTTCCAAATACCTGAGAGACTACTTTCTTCCCCATAGTCCATCTCAGCTGTTAAAACTAGGGGCACTCTTGGTAGTTTCACCTCCCTCAAACAGTTGGGGGAGTGCCAGCCCAGGAGAGGACCTTCTTTGTGACAGGCTGCTAAACTATAGAAGTCCCTCCCTACAGAGTTGCACCCGGCACCTTTAGTGTAGAGTTTCCATTATATTCTGAAGAGTCACCTCTTCTCCCTACCATTCACACCTACAATATCATTTTTGGACCCTCCCTCTCACGTTTTAATGCTGCATTTTAAATAGTTGTCACCTCCTCTGGGACCTCATGATGGAAGATGGAGAAGGAGCTAAAAACGATAATGATACTAATTTCCCCCTTTGTTTGTATCTCCTCCCCCACCACCCTCCCCTCACTAGAAACGTTAACCCATGCAGTGGGGAATCCAACACATCAAGTGAAGGGAATCCTGGGAGGATCAGTCTTGTTTTTTGCCAATGGATCTGAAGGAATAAGAGTGGAAAAAATGGAATGGGACTTTCGACCCCAAAGGCGTGGCCTGGGCTATTGGTGGGGGCAATTCAGTCATGGGAAACTGGAGCACCGAAGTCCCACTGGCCGGTTTGGACAACGACTAGACATGGTGGGCGAGGCAACACTGAGGATCAAAAACCTGGAGTTGGATGATACTGGAATCTACAATACTCGTATCTGGTTTACTAAGGCACATTTTCAAGAAAAGCGTTTCAGCCTCACCGTTTATGGTAAGTTACTGCTTTCACTGTTTGGCTCATGGAATAGGATCAGCACCATTTTGCAACATTAGCACTGGGAGAGGTGGGACCCAAAATTTATGCTGTTTTCATTTGTGTTCCACAGAGCCAGTGCCAACACCACAGATACACCACCAAGTGGAATCCAAGACTCCAGATGGATGTAATGTGACCTTGCGATGCCTCACACCTGGAAGGGAAGATCTCAGTATCTCCTGGGAAACAGGGGGTCCACACAGGGCCTTAGGAAAGAGTGTGAATCAGTACCAGGTTTCTGACAATGGCCGGGAGCTCCGTGTCTCCTTCTGGAACAGTTCTTTGGGCTCCAAATTCACCTGCCTGGTCAGCAATCCTGTTGATCAAAAGAGAGCCTCCTTTGACTTGCTCAACATCTGCCAGAGTGATGAAGGTGAGCAATATATCCTTTCCTTCATTATCCAGAGGAGGTCTTTGTGGTGGCGAAAAGGCAGGCTAGCCCTTAACATGAGGGGTTTGTATTAATAAATGCTGCTTTTTGAGTGCTTGTGAGCAGAAATGGAGCATACACAGAGCTCCTTGAAGACTGATCTGATCCTGTGAATTGCTGCTGCTGCCCCCATCTTCACCTTTTCCTGCCTTAAGAAATGGATTCAGAGCAGGAAAGTGTTTCCGACAGGCATTCACAGCCCAAATCATTGCAATACAAAGGGGAAAGATTAGAAACACGTGCTTATCTCTTGTTATTTATTCTACTGCTCTCAGCCAGGTGTGAGCATGAGGCTCTGAGTCTTGGGATCATGGGATCAAGCCACATCTTGGGCCAAAGATTCCTGCAACGCAGAGGGATGGACTAGATGACTCTAGTTGTCCCTTCCAACTCTACAATTCTATGATTCTGTGAGACGCATTCTGGCAATTGTTATTAGAGTATGTTTTGAGAAACTCAAACTTAAGAAATGGATTCAGAGCAGGCAAGTGTGTCTGGCAGGGCATTCACAGTCCTGAATGGGACAGATCAGCAACACTTGCTTATCTCTTGTTATTTATTATACTCCTCTTGGCCAGGTGTGAGCATGGGGCTCTGAATCTTGGGGTAATGGGTTCAAGCCACTCCTTGGGCCAAAGCATCCTGCAATGCAGGGGGTTGGACTAGATGACTCTAGTTGTCCCTTCCAACTCTACAATTCTATGAGAGTCATTCTGGTGTTTGTTATTGGAGTATATTTTGAGAGACTCTTATTGCTCATTGCAGGTGGACAATTTGGACTCTTGAGTTGGAGTCCATTGCTTATCTCTTCTGTCATAGTTCTTCTGGTGATATTGGTGATGGAGATGCGCTGGAAGATCATATTTAAAAGGCGTAGAAGAGGTAGGACCATCTCTATGGATCTTCTTCCCATCTCTCCTGAGATGGGGGCTTCCTGCCTAATATACATCTACCTTTCTTTTGCTTATCCTGAGAGGCAGAGACTGGTCAGTGCCATGGACTCAATAATGTGTCTCATTTTGCACTCTACAGGTGATCTCTCTGTGAACTCAAAGAGGAGCCACACAGAAGATGGTGATTATGAGGTGAGATGATCGGTGTGCAAAGGAATGAAGGCGTCATTGGTAGATAATAACAATGAAAGTATCTGATACATTTGGGATGAATTTATTACCTTATTATTATTAAAGTTGCAATCTGTTATTTTTAAAGAAACAACAGTAAACGCAACAAGAAACAGATTTCAAACAGGCCAGTGGCCCGATAATAAATGGCCATCAATTTGGCACAACCCGTCCCTACGAACCATCTCTGCTCGTCTGCAGGAGGCTTCTCTTAAAATTACCTTTCGCTGGCACAGGACTTCATCACATCGAGCCAAAATATACTCTAGCATCTCTCCCTTATGCTGGAAAGGCTCATAGTTCCATTTATGATGGAGCTGCATGTTGTAATACTCCTTTTTGGAAAAGGTGTTTCACGCTGTTTCCAAAATTACGCAGCAATTCCTTCCTTGCCTTGTTAACATTAGACTCAAATTTAAACAATAACTTTAAATGCAGAGACTTTGTATTTTTACAATTATCAGAAGCCTAATAGCAAGAGGCCAATACTGGAAACAACCTATAGAAATCCCCACTGAAATCTGGGTAAATAACATTTGGAATGTGGCTCTATCTGAACGTCTTACTCACCATAGAAGGGTAATTAAAGGCACTTAATAGACACTTTTGGCGAGACTTTGCTGCCATTCTATTCCTTTATAAAATGAGACAGAGTATACTTTTATTCCACACACAGCATAAGAATCTCTAAGGAGAGGATACTTGAACTGACAATGCATAAGTAAATGTATTGTTTATGTACTGTGTGCTGCACATGAAACTTAATAAGAATATACCATTGGACAAGTTATTGTAGTTACATGTTGTCCTTGTATTTACATTAAACTAATAAAAAATTATTTGGATTAAAGAAACCAAAAACAGGCCAATGACCCAAAACTCCTGATCAAAAGACCTAACAAATGAATTATGGCACAAGGGGAGGCAGGCAGCTTGTGCAAAGATCCTGTTCCCATCAGGGAAACATGCATGCCCTTTAGCATGAATAAAGTGAGCAGAATTGAACCCTCCCCTCTCCAGCTAGTGAATGGAGAATCCAGCCCTCTGGACACAGGGCTCTGCTTCCCACTTCCTCCCCCCCAGTGAACCCAACAGGATTGCGTTCTCCCCTCACCAGCTGTTCTGGACTCTCCCCAAAATACTAATTTTATCCTTTTATCAATGATAATAACTGAGTGCTGGAGAATGGAAATGACATATTTTTGTCAATTCCAAATGGCCAATTCCACCCACTCTCTTAGGGACTTAGTTATGGCATGTTCTCCAGTGGAACTAGAAAGCAAGCCCTAAAGGCTGGAACAGAGGTGCAGGGAAGATGCAAATGGGTATCCTTTCTTAGAGAACTCTGGACCTGGACGGGACTTTAATTTTCTCCAGGGTTCAGGGGAGCCCAGATGCCCAGAAATTCTTTTAGGAGTTGAATCCCCAGAGTCCCACCTGTCATATTTTTTCTCCAATGCAGATTGAACACTGCATCCCACAGATCAACATGGGAGATCAGCCACATCTCCTGCAGAAACTGCCAAGGAATTCATTGAAGGTTCCTCAGGGGAAAGACCCATTGAAGACTCTGAAAGCTGCCAGTTGAGTCCGAGCTACAGCCTACTCAGCACCTTTAAACACTCATCCCAAGAGTCCCGTGACTAGGCCAAAGGGCAACATACCAACACTTATCCAGTGACTGTGGATGGGGTCTCCTTGGGAGCAAGGAATCTCAGGAATGCCTTCATCACCAGCACCTGCAAGAGTGTTTAAGGCACTCCTCTTCAGCCTTGCTGTTGATGGAAACAGCATAGGAAAGATTGAGTGAGTGAAGATATAAATCAGGAACAGGGGAGGCGGAGAGATAAAAATCTGCAATGGATCAAGAAATGCATAAATATCTACATCAGGAAGAAGCATGGGATCAGCACCTCCTGTTTGCCAAGAGGTCCCTGCAGAGGCAACATTGAAGGCCAACATTGCCAAGGAGATGGAAGAGCTGGCCTCAATGCTGATTGAACTCTCCATCCCATAGACCAACCTTGCAGGCTGACTCGGACAGAGAGGAATTCTTGAGCAGTTCCGCACTACCCAGGGAATCCTTTCCTTCTCTTGGTTCTTATGCAGTCTTAGACACAGAGCCCTCAGAAATTCCACACTGCATCCCAACATGAGACATCAGTAACATCTCCGGGAGCCACTGCCAATGAATTCATCGAGGGTCCCTCTGTTGAAAGACCCATTGCTGATCTCTCAATGCTGCCAGTTGAGCCGGAGCAACAGCCTCCCCAGCAGCCTTAAACACTGGCCCCCAAAGTCCTGTGACCAGGCCAAAGAGCAAGATACAAAGACTTATCCAGTGACTATAGTTGGTTCTCCTTGAGAGCCAGGAGTCCCAGAAATGCCTTCATCACTGCCAGCAACCAGTGTATATAAGGCACTCCTCTTAATCCTCTTGAGCTTTACTCTTGCTGGAAACAGCACAGGTCTCTGGCTCCTGGAACCCAGGCGCCTTGCCTTGCCTCTCTATTCCTACTTTGCTTGGACTCTGGTTAACACTTTTATATACGTGTGTGTGTGTGTGTGTGTGTCTGAAGAAGTGTGCATGCACATGAAAGCTTATACATAGAACAAACTTAGTTGGTCTCTAATGTGTTACTGGAGTATTTTTATTATTATTATTTTGACTGTGTCAGACCAACACGGCCTACCTACCTGGAAAGAGAAATTTCCACCCTCCCTTCCCCACAGGTGGGCAGGGTTTGCAGCACTGAGCGGGGCTCACCTGGCTGGGTGCCTCCCACCTGCTTGGGCTGGCCTTTGACCCTCCTTCGGCCAGGGAGGACAATGGATGGCCGGCCAGCCTGGGGTGGGGCAAAGGCCAAAGAAAAGAGGCTGACCCCTTTGTCCAAGCCTCTTTTGGTTTTCTTCCTTCCAGGATCGGGATCATCAGGAGCATGTCCTGGTGGTCGGATTAAAGTAAGTTCTGGCCTGATTGAAAGGGGCATGGCACCTCCACCAGGCTAGGCTTCAATTTTGCAACCTTTCTTTTCTGGGCAGGCACCCAGCAAGGCTGTGGAGGCGGCCTTTTTGTTTTTTGCAGCGGCAGGGGGGCATGGCTTCCCCGACACCGTCATCTGCCGGTGCCTCGGGTGGCGGTTTTAGGCCTTGGCAAAGTATCCTTTAACATCAAGTCAGCAGGGATGCATTCATGCTCCCTCCCCGTGCGGCGGCTCTTGCAGGGCACGTTAAAGGGCAAAAACTGGGAGTCTCTGGCCCTAGAACGGTGGCATGTAGGTCAAACTCCCGGGACAAGGTTGGTGGAAGGGCATGCTGTGTAAGTTTGCGCTTTGAAGTCCCCTCTCACTGGACCTCATCTGCCTGCATATCCTCAGCCAGGCGGACTGAGAGGGTTACCTGCCAAGGCCTGTGCCAAGTTTCCCACTTCTGAAGCTCAATAAAATTGTGGCCAGTTGTTTCTCTTCTTTTCAATGGTTTTGCAGGATTCCAAAAGGTTGGTGATTTCCAAATGTTGGTGAGAATCAAACAACTTTTCTTAACAGAAACCTTTGACAGGCATACAAGCAGGTGTATAACACAAAAAAGCACCCTGAGCTCACACACTCCTCCTCCACTGATCCTTCCTGGTTTATAAGGGGAGGAACAAAGAGCAGTGAAAGGAGGAAACAGAAACAAAGGAGGGAATGAGAAGGGGGTGGAAAGCGTGCACAGACAGCCTTTGCTGGTACAAAGAGAAGGATCTGATCTGATTCCTTTTGTCCAAAAGTTCACGACTTGCAAATAAGACCCTGTACTCGGGCTACGCTTCTAAGGTGGATGAACCGGCTTATTTTAGAGCACCTATCCTGTGCAGAAAAATGAAACTTTTCTCCTCACGGTGGTGAAACAGATGCCACAATGGGAAGCCCCAGCAGGACCTGAGCTCAACAGGCGCAAGTCTCCCCATCGGTGAGTCCCAGAAACGGTTCGTCCGGTGCCTCACTGCCGCTCATGGCTCTCTGCATCTCTGGAGAGATACGATGGTGGATTTTTCTCACAAAGGGCCTCTTCTTCGGACTATTGCTGTTCTCTTCCTTGGGTAAGGACTTCACTGAAGCACGAGAACGCAAGCAGGTACTCGCTTGGCGTTAATAAGGATCAGGCAGACGCAGCAATGGAGAATAAGAAGGTGAAGTTTATTGCCAGGCAATAAGGACCCAGTTTGGAATCTCTTCCAAAAGGAACTGGGACCCCGACTGACAGAAATCCAGAGGTCTTTATACCTGAGCAGATCACAGCAAATCATAGATCATGAGACAACCATGAGGCAGTCATGATATTGTCAGCAAAAATTAGCCAATTAGCAAGCTTCTTGCCATGCTTCCAGCTCCTGGTCAAGCACGGAGTTCTAGTTCTGCTTTCCGCTCCTTGCAGTGACGCTCTGTCTAACCTCTCCCCTAGTTATGACAGGACAGGGAGTTTGGAGATTTTGTGGTTTTGCTCTTCCTGTTCTGCAGATTAATTTAGCCTGTATCTGAGGGGATTTTGTACCAAAATCTCTGATTCACGTCTTCCCCTTGTCCAGGGTACACGGATGTTTGTAGGGGAAAGGTCAGCTCCTAATTTTGCTGTTTCAAGCAGTTTGCAGTTAGCTAAGGCACAGCTTCCCTTTGATTCAAAATGGATTATAAAATACTGTAAGCCCTGATTATGTGTGAGCATATATGAATATATTGATTACTGATAACTGATTATATGAATTGCATAAGGGTAGCCCTTCTTCCTTGCCTCATCACTGCTTTCTTTCTTTCTCTCTCTCACTCAGAAACTACAAGTAACCACCTACATGCATGCATGGATGGAGGGGACACTCTGAGTTTGATTTATCATGAAGAGGGAAATTATTGTAGGATTACCGGATGTCCCCAGTTCCCGGGGACAGTCCCCAGGTTTGCAAATCTGTCCCTGGCAAATGTGGAAGTGACAGCCTCAGCAGCCCGGAGCCAGCCTCGTAGTGCAGTTGGCTCTGGCTGGCTTCAGGAGGTGCCCGCTGCTGTGGCGCCCACCATTTTTCCTTGCCGGAACTTCCAGCGAGGACAAAGTTCTGATGTAACTTTCTCCAATAAAAAATGGCAGTCACCATGGCAGCGAGCAGCTCCTGAAGCCAGCCAGAGCCAACTGCACTACCAGGCTGACTCGAGGCAGCTGCGGCTGTCGCTGCAACTGCCACCGCCGAAGGGGAAACAGGTGCAAAAGAAGGGCTTTGCACTTTGCCTGGCAGAGAAACCACACGCCTTGCACCCCTCCTGGGCAACTGCTGCCCACCCGCGACTCCCGAGCCTCCCCTGATCTGTCAAAACAAAGGGGGGAAGGGGCAGGAGATTGGGGAAGGCTTGGGAGTTACGGGCAGGCAGCACGCCGTTGCCCAGTTTTTTAAAAACTCTGTGCATTTATGTTCCACAGGGTGTGAAAGAAGGGTTTGCACATTTGTACAATATGCATGTGTGCTTGGGCCCAGGGTCTTTTGCCTCACCATCCCCACTACTGACTCCCTGTTGCTACTCAGCTTAAAAAAAAAAAAAAAAGTGTCCCCAGATTCATTGGAAAAAATCTGATAACCATATTGGCAATATTGGTTCCTAGCACTCAGGGACTCCTCTCCCCAGTTGGAACCCTCCTAGAACACCCTAGCTGGCTTCAAAGGGAGCTCCCCATAGTCCATCTCAGCTGTTAAAACCAGCAGAAGGCGCACTCTTGGAAGCTTCACCTGCCTCAAACATATGGGGAAGTGTCAGTCCAGGAGAAAACCTTCTTTGTGGCAGGCTGCTAAACTGTAGAAGTCCCTCCCTACAGAGTTGCACCCGGCACCTTTAGTGTAGAGTTTCCATTATATGCTGAAGAGTCACCTCTTCACCCTACCATTGACACGTGCAATATAATTTTTATTTTATTATTTTATAATAATTTTAATATATTTTTATTAATAACAATCCAATATGACCAAATAATTACAATACCAAATCATAATTCAATTAAAAAAGCCAATTGTCAGATTCCAAATTAAACATTTTGGTTGACTTGCCCTGTTCTGATTTTAGGCGATTTTTAGGACATGTTGCTTCCTTGTTCCCACCTCCAATCTGCTTATTTAATCCAATAATATAGTTCCAATGTTGATCCTTTATTTTAAGAGCCACTGATGTGTTGACTTTCGTTTGGATTTAACTGTTCCATATCCTTTAGTTTGGAAGAGGATTTTATATCTGGTAACTCTGTGTGGAATGTGTTTTTTTTTAAAACATTCAACCTTCCTTTCTTGTTGCAATCAATAATTTTCGGCATTTCCCCCACCACCACCACCACTCCTAGGACTCAATATTACTGCATAGTGACTTTTCACAATCTTGCTTCTCTTAAAAACGAAAGCGGTCTGGCATCTGGCCATTACTCCGGGCTGATTTCCAGCTTTTACTTTGAATTCTTTCCAATCCAATGACAAGCTGATATCTCAACAACACCCTAATAAATCAAAGTTCAAGTTCTCCGTAGGAGGGTATTGCCACATAACATCCCAATATTTCCCACAGTTCCATTTTTTCAGTTAATCCATAAGCACTATAAAGTTCTTATTGATTCCCTCTTGCAGTCCATTAATAATTGCAATCCATTAATAATCACAATCCATTAGAAGCTAATTTTCTTCTTCAGTGAAGTGAAGAAAACCAGAAGTCCTCTGCAAAATAATTTTTAGGGCCCTCCTTATTACATTTTAAGGCTGCATTTTAAATTGCAGTAACCTACTCTGGGACCTCATGATGGAGCTAAAAACAATAATGATTATAATTTTGACCTTTGTTTGTATCTCCTCCCCTACCACCCTCCCCTCACTAGAAACTTTAAGCCATGCAGTGGGGAATCCAACCCATCAGCTGAAGGGGATCCTGGGAGGATCAATCTTGTTTCCTGCCAATGTATCTCTAGGAATAACAGTGGAGAAAATGGAATGGGACTTCCGCCCGCAAAGGCATAACCTGGGCTATTGGTGGGGGGAATTCAGTCATGGGAAACCGGAGCACCCAAGTTCCAGTGGCCGATTTGGACAACGGCTAGACATGGTGAACGAAACAACACTGAGGATCAAAGACCTGGAGTTGGATGACAGTGGGATCTACAATACTCGCATCTGGTTTACTAAGACACTGTTTCAAGAACAGAGTTTCAGCCTCACCGTTTATGGTAAGTTATTGATTTCACTGTTTGGCTCATGTAATAGGATTAGCATTATTTTGCAACATAGGTACTGAGAGGCATGTGGGACACAAAAAATCTGTTCCTTTCATTTGTGTTCCACAGAGCCAGTGCCAACACCACAGATAGACCACCAAGTGGAATCCAAGACTCCAGGTGGATGTAATGTGACCTTGCGATGCCACACACCTGGAAGGGAAGATCTCAGTATCTCCTGGGAAACAGGGTGTCCACACAGGGCCTTAGGAAAGAGTGTGAATCAGTACCAGGTTTCTGACAATGGCCAGGAGCTCCATATCTCCTTCTGGAACAGTTCTTTGGACTCCAAATTCACCTGTCTGGTTACAAATCCTGTTGATCAAAAGAGAGCCTCCTTTGACTTGCTCAACATCTGCCAGAGTGATGAAGGTGAGCAATATATCCTTTCCTTCATTATCCAGAGGAGGTGCTTGTTGTGGTGTAACGCCGGCTGGCCCTTAACATCAGGGATTTGAAGAGATGTGTTTGTATTAATAAATGCTGCTCTTCAAATGCTTGTGAGCAGGATCGGACCATACACAGAGCCCCTTGAAGACTGATCTGATCCTATGAATTGCTGCTGCTGCCCCCATCTCCTCCTATTCCTAGCTTAAGACATTGATTCAGGGCAGGCAAGTGTGTCTGACTGCATTGACAGCCCAAATCATTGCAATACAAATGGTATAGATTAGCAACGCTTTTTTTATCTCTTGTTATTTATTCTACTGCTCTCAGCTGAGTGTGAACATGAGACTCCAAATCTTGGGGTCATGAGTTTAAGCCCCACCTTGGGCAAAAGATCCCAGGGGTTGGACTAGATTACTCTAGTTGTCCCTTCCAACTCTACAATTCCATGGTTTTGTGAGACTCTGGCGGCTGTTATTAAAATGTTTTGAGAAACTCTTATTGCTCATTACAGGTGGACACCTTCAACTCTTGAGTTGGAGTCCATGGCTTATGTGATGGCCTGGGATTCCGATTCGGAGGATGAAACAGAGGAATCCCGGCCTGCACAGGAGTCCCCGCCTCCAGGGCCGGCTGAACTGGGGCAAGGCCTTGATGCTGAAGAGCCTGCACCTGTGGCAGTGCATCAGGAGCTGGCCCCAGGTGAAGCCCTTCGGGCCCCAGAGGGGCTTGATGACTCAGTGGCCACAGGTGAGCCTCCTCCAGGGCCCAGTAACCCTTCGGCCTCTCCTGATCTGCAGAGGCTTAGGGCAGAGAGGCGAAGGGAACTGGTTGCCCCAGGAGGAGTGCTCGCCTTAAGGCCAGAGGAGGCGGGGCTCCTGGGGACCGGGACCGCCCCTGGCCTTAGAAGAGGATAAAAGCCCAGTCAGCCCGGCCCCAGGTTGCGGGAGCAACGTCGTTGTTGGCTTCGGACCTTCCTGTGTTCCTGATCCCTGCTCGGCTTCCTGTTCCTGACTATCCGGTACTCCTGTTCCCTGCTCGGCCTCCTGTTCCCGACCATCCGGTGTTCCTGTTCCCTGCACAGCCTCCTGTTCCAGCATTCCTGTTCCCCGCCCGGCTCTCTGCCTCGGACCTTGCCCCTCTTCGTGTGGACTCTGCTACACCCAAGGTACCTTACCCCCGGGACCAGCACAGCTTATCTCTTCAGTCATAGTTCTTCTGGTGATAATGGTGATGGTGATGGTGAATTGGATGTGCTGGAAGATCAGATTAGAAAGGAATAGAAGAGGTAGGACCATCTCTACTGATCTTCCCATCTCTCCTGAGATGGGGGCTTCCTGCCAAATATATCTCTTCCTTTATTTTGCCTATTCCAAGTGAGAGAGACTGGTCAGTGCCATGAACTAAATAATGTGTCTCATGTTGCATTCCACAGGTGTTCCCTCTGTGATGCGAGAGAAAGGGGAGAATATCTGGAGCTCAGGAGCCACCCAGAAGATGTTGACGATGAGGTGAGATGAACAGTGTGCAAAGTAATGATGGAGTGATTGTTATATAATAGCAGTGAAAGCATCTGATACATTTTGGAGGCATTTAATACTTTCAAAATTATTATTAAAGTGGCAATCTCTTATATTTAAAGAAACAAAAACAACAACAAGCAGATTTCAAACAGGCCAGTGACCCGATAATAAACGGCAATCAATGTGGCACAACCTGTCACTACAAACCATCTCTGTTCGTCTCTTAACATTGTCTATCGGTGGCACTGGACTCCATCACATCGAGCCAAAATAAACTCTAGCATCTCTCCCTTATGCTGGAAAGGCTCATATGTCCATGTATGGTGGAGCTCCATGTTGTAATACTCCTTTTGGGAAAAGGTGTTTCACATTATTTCCAAAATTACGCAGCAATCCACTCCACCCACATCAGCTCTTGCCTTGTTATCATTAGACTCAAATTTAAACAATAACCTTAAATACAGAGACTTTGTATTTTTACTATTATCAGCAGCCCAATTAGGAATCGGCCAATACTGGAAACAACTATAGAAATCACCACAGAAGGAGTACTTAAAGGCACTTCAAAGATAGACACTTTTGGCAAGACTTGGCTTCCACTCTTTTCCTTCATAAAATGAGACACAGTATACTTTTATTCCACCCACAACCTAAGAATCTCTGTGGAGAGGCTACTTGAATTGTCAATACATAAATAAATGTATTGCTTGTGTACTGTCTGGTACATATGAAACTTAATAAGACTGTACCACTGGACAAGTTACTGTAGTTATATGTTGCTCTTGTATTTACTGTACATTAAAACCAATAATGATTAATTGAGTTTAAAAAACCAAAAACAGGCCAATGACCCAAACCTCCTGATCAAAAGACCTAACAAATGGATTATGGCAGAAGGGGAGGCAGGCAGCTTGTGCAAAGGTCCTGTTCCCATCAGGAGAACATCCATGCCCAGTTAAAGCGAACAGAATTGAACCCTCTCCTCACCAGCTAGTGAACAGAGAATCCAGCCCTCTGGCCGCAGGGCTCCACTTCCCACATCCTTCCCCCAGTGAACCCAACAGGATTGCTCTCTCCCCTCACCAGCTCTTCTGGAGTCTTCCCAAAATACTCCTTTTATCCTTGATTATTTATCATTGATAATAACTGAGTGCTGGAGAATGGAAATGACATATTTTTGTCAATTCAAAACTGGCAATTCCACCCATTCTCTTAGGGACTTAGTTATGGCAAGTTCTCCCATGGAACTAAAAAGCTAGCCCCAAGGAGTGGAACTGAGGTGCAGGGAAGATGCCCGCTTTTAGGCAAATTGGTATATCTTCTTGGAGAACGCTGGACTTGGACAGGACTTTAATTTTCGTCAGGGTTCAGGTGGGCCCAAATGCCCAGAAATTCTTTTAGAAGTTGCATCCCCAGAGTTCCTCCTGTCATGTTTTCTCTCAATGCAGATTGAACACTGAATCCCACAGACCAACCCTGCAGGTTGACTCAGAGATAGGAGGAATTCTCAAGAAGTTCCACACTACCCAGAAAACGCTTTTCCTTCTCTCTCTTCTTGTACAGTCTCAGACACAGAGCCCTCAGAGATTGAACACTGCATCCCACAGACCAGCATGGAAGATCAGGCACATCTCCAGGAGCCCCTGCTGAGGAATTCACTGAGGGTCCCTCAGGGGACAGACCCATTGCTGATCTCTCAATGCTGCCAATTGAGCCGGAGCTACAGCCTCCCTAGCAGCCTTAAACACTGCCCCCCAAAGTCATGTGACCAGGACAGAAAGCAACATAGAAAGACTTATCCAGTGATTATGGAAGGGGTCTCCTTAAGAGCAAGGAGTCCCAGAAATGCCTTCATCACCATCACCAGCCAAGAGCGTCTAAGGCACTGCTCTTCAGCCTCCCTGTTGATGGAAACAGCACAGGAAAGATTGGATGAGTGAAGATACACATCAGGAACTGGGGAGGCGGAGAGATAAAACTCTGCAATGGATCAAGAAGTGCATAAAGATCTACATCAGGAAGAAGCATGGGAGCAGCACCTCCTATTTGCCAAGAGGTCCCTGCAGAGGCAACATTGCAGGCCAACATTGCCAAGGAGATGGAAGAGCTGGCCTCAATGCTGATTGAACTCTGCATCACCTACACCAACCTTGCAGGTTGACTCAGACAAAGAGGAATTCTCAAGCTGCTCCATACAACCCAGGGAAACCTTTCCTTCTCTCAGTTCTTATGCAGTCTCAGAAACAGAGCCCTCAGAGACTGATTGAACACTGAATACCACAGACCAATGTGGGAGATCAGTAACATCTCCGGGAGCCACTGTGAAGGAATTCATTGAGCTACAGCCTACCCAGCAGCCTTCAACACTGGCCCCAAAGGTCTTGTGAGCAGGCCAAAAAGCAACATACCAAGTGATTATGGAAGGGGTCTCCTTGAGAGCCAGAAGTCCCAGAAATGCCTTCATCACCAGCTGCAAACAGGGTACATAAGACAATCCTCTGGAGCTTCCGTGTGGCTGGAAACAGCACAGGTCTCTGACTTCTTCAACCCAGGTGCCTATCCTTTCCTTTCCTTTCCTTGCCTCTCTTTTCCTATTGAGCTTGGACTCCTTCCATGTAGAGTGAAGGTGTAAATGGGCGAATAAACCCTATTTCTTAAAGCTACAACAGTCTCTGTCATGTCTTCCTTTCTCCAAAGGGAAACAGATCCTCTTTGGGTGCCTGGGGTCCCATGGGCTCTTTCCACCACTGGGCAGAGAGATCGGCAGGCACCCAACTTTTGCAACAGTACATTGGACTGGAGCACAAGGTTGTTTTCACTCTTCTCCCTTGCAAAACATCCGCGAAAGAGATTTTCTTTTGGGAAGGAGACATGTTTTCCCTAACAGGGAGACTAAAAGGAAGGGAGGCAAATAATTAACAGCAACAGAGTGACGGTGCTTGTCTGGTGTCAATAAGCAGGGAGTTCCAAAGAGTAGTGCTGCCAACCCTGAAAGATCGATCCCTTGGAAGTGCAAAGCAAACATTATGGCATTTGTACACGAGCCACTTCTTACTTTTTGGTTCCATCTTTGTTTTGTTATTTCTTCTCCTCAGCCTTCATCATACTGTGGGATGAGGTGGAAAGTTTTTGAGAAGCTTGAACTTGTATTTAGTCTCAAGGGGCAGAAGATCTCCAGGTGTCATGTTTCAAAAGGAGAGAGAGAGAGAGAAGTTCAACAAGTGGGGCAGGATCCCAGCTTCAGCACCACCCATATCCACCCCAGAGTGGCTTGCTCTCCCCCTGAACCTCTCAAAATAAGCTGGGCTAGAGATCCTGGAGGCACATTTACCCACAGAGACCTTCCCTGGTGTCCACAGGGTCCCATCTCCCCTCCCCTCCATTTTAGCAAATTTAACACATTATGTTTTCACTAATGCTTGTATTGCTTGGTACACCTTATGATTAATGCATGCAAAACATCCATGCACTGATGTGCACACATTTTCCCAGTACATGCATGTTTGTACATATTAATCGACTGCTAAACAGCAAAGCAAAATTCAGACAAGTGTGGATTTCATCTGTCATGGATGGTTTAGCTAATATTCCTTCATTGAAGGGGGTTGGACTAGATGGACCCTTGGAAGTCATTCGAAATCCACAATTCTACGATTCAAACTAAATGTTAAAATCAACAGGGGGTTACTAAACATATACACAGAAAAGGTAATGCCTCAATTCGTCATAGTGTAAAATAAAAGAACTGCAACTTGTATTGAATTTCTGTGTGGGCACCTGGTGTGCATTTCCTGTTTTAGCTCACAGCTTTCTTAGCCTGGATGACTGTGGACAAGCTTGTCAGTTACTTCACACAATTTCCCTCTTAGAGGGAGCTTTGGGGCTGCAGCTTTTCTTATGCCAGAGAATTAAAGCAGGAGCCACGTGATCCTTCTCTCCTTTGGCCCATGGATCTTCTCTTCCCTGGGTAAGTCCCTAGGTAGAAAAAGCTGAATGCATAGGGCAGGCTTCCCCAAACTGGACCCTCCAGATGTTTTGGGACTACAACTCCCACCACCCCCAGCTAACAGGACCACTCGTCAGGGATGATGGGAGTTGTAGTCCCAAAACATCTGGAAGGCCCAGTTTGGGGAAGCCTGGCATATGGTGACAATCTATAGGTTTGCTTGGTCATAAAGGGGAAAGAAACTGACAACGCTGAGCTCATCTAAAGAATAGGCCCCCTCCCTGAAAGCTCCCCACCCCATCTCAGGGTCAATGTGTTTGGGCACCTGCTGTGGGCTCACATTCCACTGACAAGAGCCCCCACCCCACCAGACCTTCTCCTTTCCACCACAGCTTTCTCATTCTGGCCCAAACAGTAATGGTGGGTGTCATGGGCCCAGGGGTTTGGGGGCGCTGGCCAGATGAGGCTGGTGACATGGAGGAGACACCCCAGAGGGCCTGGCTAGACTGGGAGCTCAATGAGCCAGCCAGAGGGAGGATCCTAGAAAGGTCTGGAGAAGGATATGGGAGCCAGCTGTATGCCATCTTCCCCTCCCCTCTGAAGAGTATTTAAGCCAGTTATTCTCAGTTAACTCTTGTGTTGCTTTGTATTTCTGTACTTAAGCCTGGATTTTTTGTGGGAGGGGGGATATTTACTTTCATATTCCATATTCTGTACATTTGTACTTCCAATGCTCTGCCTTTTGACGTTTTGAATGTTTGCTGTGTGGCAGCTTGGGCAGAGCCCATTGTGGAAGGGACGCATACAGATAAACTCAATCAATCCCAGTCAAGAGGGAAGTATCTGAGGCAGCTGATCTTGTTTACTAGCATCCAGTTCCTGGTGAGGGTGGGGCAATGCAACAGTGGTCTTTGTTATTTGATCTCATTTCATAGAAATCTGCGCATCAGATGAAGGCAGAAGATAGAGAGCCCAACTGTAGGTTGGTCCAGAGCCAATGATAGGTTGAGCCAGTGCTTTTTTTCCTGCGGGGGACGCAGGGGTACACATACCCCTAAGCATTTTGTGAATCTTTGTACTTTTGTCCATTTACTGTATTTATTTTTCCTGATTTGAACTATAAAATGGTGATTATTTTGAGTCAAAATGAGAGTACCCCTAAACAAATATTTTTTTAAAAAGCAGTGGGTAGAGCCAACTAATTCTAGTTCTCTCACTGCCTTCCCTACTGAGAACTACAAGAGGAACACAGATACTAAGGAGGAAGGGTCAAGTGGGAGTAGAAAGTAAAAAAGGAAAACAGGTGGGGTTAAGGACAGGCGGACGCTGTCCTAAGGGAGGGAACAGTCTCCACTGCTGTGATGTGTTGCTGCACATTGCAACCTTTTCTCTTCTTTGCAAGGGTTTAGCTTCAGGACTCTGAAAGGTTGGTGGTCTCCAGATGTGAGTGAGAATCAAAGACCTTTTCTTAACAGAAACCTGTAACAGGCAGGTGTATAACACAGAGAGAAACACCCTGAGCTTGCAACTCTTTCTCCTCCTCCACTGATCCTTGCTTGGAATTACCTTTGTACTTCTACAATGTCCTTCTCTGATGCTTCCTGGTTTATTAGGGGAGGAACAAGGAGCACATACAGTTATAAAGAGGAGGAGGATCCGATCTGCTCAGAAGCGAGAAGACGGGATGGGATGTTGATTGTGTTCGAAAGTTCACAACTCTTGCGAAAAACTCTGTACTCAGGCTACGCTTATAAAGTGGATGAACCGGCTTATTTTAGAGCAACTATCCTGTGCAGACAAATGAAGCTGTCCTTCTCAGGGTGGTGAAACAGATGCCTCAATGCCCATAAGCAGGACCTGAGCTCAACAGGCACAAGTCTCCCCATTGGTGAGTCCAAGAAAGGGGCATTCTGGTGCCCCACTTCCGCTCATGGCTCTCTGCACCTCTGGAGAGATACGATGGTGGATTTTTCTCACAGAAGACCTCTTCTTCAGACTATTGCTCTACTCTTCCCTGGGTAAGGACTTCACTGCTTTCTCTCTCACTCACTCAGAAACCACAAGTAACCCACCTATATGCATTGTTATGAATAGATAAATTTTTGGCAATATTGGTTAGTAGCACTCAGGGTCTCCTCTTCCCATCTGGACTCCTCCCAGAACACCCAGGCTGGCTTCAAAGGAAGCTCCAAAGGAAGACTTTTGAGAGTTTAATTCTCTGTGTGATATTTGTTACTGAGCTGAAATTGGGGTGGGACAATTTGTGTGTATGATGAAGGTGATCATCTCCCCTGAAGGTGTGGAGTGGAACAGAATAAATGACATGCTGGCAGCAAGTCACCCTCATTTGTAGGGCAGAAATGTTTTCCTGTGGGATATTTTCCTATGATGTGTCAGTTATTCACCAGTACAAAATAAATATCAGTTTAGAGCCAACAGTGAATTAGAGGAGCCAACCAATGAGCAGGAAAAGGCAACTGGGGATCTTGGTGGAACAGAGTCAGTTTTCCCAAAATTTAACCAATGGGCAGATGATCCGCAAAACAGATGTTCCCCAAAATTTGACCAATGGGCAGCTTTGAAAAGATTTAAGTGTTTAATTGATTGCTTTAGATACAGATGACGTTCAGACCTGAGCCATGAGCCAACAGTGTGACGAGGCAGCTACAAAAGCCAATGCAATTCTGGGCTGCATCAATAGGAG